AATATTTTACCGCTCCCTCGGCCCACCCGTATATATAATAAATATTTCACCACTCCCTTGGCCCACCCATCTACAAAATAATACCAATATGTCGGCCCACCCATCTACAAAATAATCTTAATTCGTCGGCCCACCCGTCTAACATGATATATATCTGGGCCCACCCGTCTATGTGATAACAAGCACCCTTGACATACCTAGCTATTTGATACACATCTACCTTGGTAAACCCATCTACATAATATCCAACTACCTTGGCCCATCCGTCTATTGAATATTCATGTCCATCGGCCCACTCATCTACTCTACATATTCCCTACATGGGCCCACCCGTCTCCATCGGGAATAATAACACTCCCAGCCCATCCGTCATAGTCGAGGATATATCTACCTTTGGCCCATGGTCCGCTGGCCCATATCATACGGGATATTATGCACGTCCGTTCACTCGTATAATATGGAGATATGTTACTGCAATATGTGCAATTTCATCATAATATGTATGTCCAGTGCAGTCATACTTGTGCTTCAATCTGAAGTATTAGTCAGCATGTAAAGGATATCATATCCATGAATGGAAATCAAAATCAAAACCAAAGCATGAAATCAAAACAAAATTTATAAGTGAAATCAAAATCATGAAATTGAAAACACCTTAATGCAAAATGGTACATGAAAATTTGTCTTGGAAAAGCAAAATTAGCACCTGAAAACAAATTACTTGCATTTGAAAGTGAAATGAAAGCTCAAAACCCTTGATTGAAATCACTGTGAATTTTATCTGCTGGCACCCTTTATAAGTGACGTGCAAATAAGATATCCCTGGTTACCATTGCCCAGACGTATCAGGTTGCTTTTGGAATTTTGAATTTTAGTCATGAGATACTTTGCTCGCCACATCCAAAACATTAATTCATTGCTGTAGGCAGAACTTGTGGTATTCATTCTCCATATTGTCATCTCTGTCATTCCAGGCATGCAGGCTAATGAGGGCAAAGACAAGAATGAGGACAGATATTATACACACCATTCAACAAATCCTAGCAGGTGAACCCAACATAAAGACTGTCATAAGTCTTTCCTGCTACACCGCAATGTGAATGAGCCTCAATCTGTTTCTCAGCCCCAGTGAGCATTGGACATTCAGTAATCTACCAAAACAGACATAAATATACACAAAGCTACTTTGTACCCTACATTAGTACATACATCATCTTATCTACAGTAATTGATGTGTTTCACAAATGCAACATTCAGGCTACAAAACTTGTTGTTGTTCTTGCTTTCTGTTTTGCTTTTTGCAAAGGTAAGCTATTTTTTTGAAGACTGCTTGCAGCTACTACTCACACATGTCATAACACTATATACTCTCACCAGTGCATGTACTCCTTGTCACACTGTTGCTGCATCCATCATAATACATACTTTTAGCCTTCAATGTTGGACTTTTGGTGTGCATGTTGCAAGTACTGTAACAGTGAAAGGACCTTGATTCAATCACAATCAACATGGTATTGTCATCTTCAAGAAGCAGATGATGGTGAGAAGGAAAGTATTCATTTGGCGAAGTTTTCTGATGCATTCCATGCATCTGTTGCACCTGTATCCAGCACTTCGGTTGGTCCAAAAAACTTGAAACATCCTTCATTTGGGTGCTTTGCATCGTGAGGTGAAGTTTTCTGGCAATGAGCAACCAGGAAACAATGAGGACATGATTGGACATGTGATAGATGCTTACTCACACCATGTTCTCATAGACTCTGAATTTGAGACCTGTCAGAACCATATCTAGTAGGTATGAAAGAGGTTGTGGAGGGGCTTAGCTTCAGCTCGTATGCTGCACTCCTTAGGTGAGTATGGTGCCCTTAACTTCGGAGGACAGATAGGGGCTGCTGAAGATTGACTCCGACATGCTCCGACAGAGGTTTGGTAGCAGGGAACTATGTCCAACACGCTCCGACAGAGGTAAGGCTACAAGGGACTAAGTCTGACATAGAAAGTAAGGCGAGGACTGTCGGAAGACAGAAGTGGAGGTTGGTGAGATAAGTCTCAAAGTCAGAATAGATGATGAGCAGGACTTAAGTTGAGTTGGGGGTGGTTAGGATAGGTTCAAGTCTATATTCATATTATAGAAGCAATACCAGAATACATAGGGTTTATATACTATGAGAATCTGGGCTATGCGGCACAGTGCAGTGAAGTACAAAGTAATAATAAAAGGGACAATGAACCATAGTATATAACAAGCTAAATTAGAATGGAGGATTGGATCATACAAGGTACAAGTGTCATATACCAGATCCGACCGCTCCGATACTGATATCCGCTCCGCTTTCCAACCCCCTCCGCCCCATCCATCCTCCGCTCCGCTCTATCACAAAACCCGCATTCCACCCTACGCTTCCACTCAACCACTCAACCGGTCCCCTTCCATAAACCTCTCCATTCAACTGGATCCCTTTCCCCTTTTAGACATACACTTTCCCCTTTTAGACATACACTTTCCCCTTCGGTACATAGACTCTTACTTCTGGATCACCAGTAATTCCTATTACTGCCCAATCGCTGATCCGACATGTACATATTGATATCTGCTCCGACTTATGTCTTCGCCTATATAAAGTACTTACAAACTATATCCTTGGTACATAGCTTTACTACATAGTTATCCTGATCACTGCCTCACATAGAAGTATATAACATATCCTGTACTTAGATATTTTCCCTTAGTCTTAATATTACTTGTCTTCTCGCAGTTACACCTTGTGAGAATTCTCAGTAGGACCTTGCCTCCTCTGGACACAAGTCTCAACTTGTCATCACCTCTGACCCTCCAATCCCCCGCTCCGACTTAGAGCCGAGCTCTAAGTCTTTTCCATATACTCTGCTCCTATCCAACATTCTCCCTTGTCCCTCTGCATCATCCTCCGCCTTCTCCACCTCTGCCAAACATTCCCTCTGCTCCTATCCACCCTCCGCATCAACCCCCGTCTTCTCCACTCCGCTCCTAGTTGGCCCGCCACTAGCAGCTCTTACTTCCCGACCCTCAAAGCGGACCAAAGTGGTCCATTTGTCCTATCGTCGGACAACATTGGACCCGCTCCAAATTCGGGGCACATACTCAGCTAAGGGTGCAGCGCAAGAGCTGAAGCCAAGCCCCGACCCCTCTGCCTCTTGAGCCGGCATGGTACCTAACAACAAGACTAGACAGAAAACAGACTGTACAAAGGAAACTCGGAATGGACTGACAGGTGCCTCATGCCTTGATTGAGTGAAGGGCAGAGGAATGTACCTGACATCAGAGATACATTTTTGAGAGGTGGAGGAGCATATAGGAGGGTGGAGGACTAAGAATGAGGGCGGAGGATGTTAACTGAGGGCAGAGAAGACTTGTCTGGATTGTGGATATGACAAGACCTTAATATCTGACATTCAAGGTGTATCTTATGTTTTCAATTCTGAACAGCCGAGTAATATTAATACTGACTGACTTCACAGGTATCATAGCTCCAGATCATAGTGTCATATTGTTTGATCCTCAAGCTCATACATGCATTCCTTTCACAGCCACTACCATCTTCAGCATGTCCATTCTGCAAGGCCCTAGGACTCAAGCAACACATCCCGGGACCACAACATTAGCCAATACACCATTCTCATACTACACTCTTACTTTCCTTTGCTAATTTTCAATCTTAAACACATCAAACCTTTTTCATTACATATCATACCACTATAGCTGGATGCAGTACTCATCAGTCCTAGTTTCACATTGTCAGGCATGTTCTTATAAACATGGTTCCATGATAATTCATGTGATACACAACACATCATCATCAGAGAACCGGTGAGCAGATGAGAAGGTTATTTAAAGCAATATATTGTAGAGCATCACAACAATCTGCAATGTTGCAACCTTGTCGCAAACTCCTCATGATAATTTAGATTCTTAGACATCCATGGCTATGTGCCGATAACTCACATTTCTCGCAGTATACATAGTCATATCTAGCAGGAACAGAATTATATCCTCCTATAGTTCCCACGGCTACCATGTCAAGGACTCATCAGTTCTCTGATGATCTAACAGGAATAGGTGAATATTCTAAGTACGTGTTGTAGGAATAATTGTGGCCAATATAGCATAACTAACAAGTTAAAAGTGCCGCATTTATGCATACAAAAAACTAAGGAAAAGGGTCAAGGATTGGGTGAGTATTTGAGCTTACTGTCCTCGACAGCGAGCTGTGGTGTTGTTGCGGCGGTGTTACAAAAACGGATGAGCACAGCAATATCCGAGTGAGCAAAAAAGTATTTCACAACTAAAATTCAAAATTCCAAAAACAACCTGATACGTCTGGGCAACGGTACCAGTGCATCTCGAGTAGATGCTAGATTTACCCAGGAGTGTACATAGCTATAGCATTGAACATTCACCATCATACATCGTGTTTCGTCCCCAATTCAGCTTGGAACGCTACTGGTAGCAACCAGCGGCACTGGATAGTCACACCGTATGCTTCACTCGACACATACGAGCCACACCGCCACCTCAGTAGGTCAGTCGCGAAACAGTTCAATACCCTAGTGAGTGATTCTTGTGGTGTGTCCAAGAACGAGACTCATGTGATCTTTCACCTTCAGCTCGAATCAGTCCATGACGAGAACATTCGAGGTCAATTTTGAACGATCTACGAACGTGAGGCTGGGTATCATGTCGAAGAGTTCCTTGAAAAACATAGGAGTGACATGGACATCGTTCTTATATTTGTCAGTATCTGGCAGTCACGATCTCCTGTGTTACTGTGTAGGGTCGCAGTTCTCACCATGATGTACAGTCAGGTCTCTTTTCTGCAGCCAGCACCACTTTCATTGTTTCTCTTCAATCTAAGCTCGGTCCGGACGAAACCAAGATGACAAACGCCCTTGTAAAACTGCTATCCACACGCTCGACAGCACTGCATTTGACAGCCAACAGCCTGTCCTCCCACAATGGAATGGACCGGGGACGACTGAGATTTGGATACAGTGCCTCACGTACGCCAGTCTCAGTGCCAGTCTCCTTGCTGCCCTGGGTGCTGTACTGGGGAAGCAGTGGTTGGGTCACTTCATCCGCTGCGGACGTGGGCCGATCGATGTCCGCAGTCGTCTGAGGCAACAGAAGATGGATGGTCTCCAGACCTGGTACTTTAGTGCTGTCTTGGAGTCGCTTCCGTTGTTAATCCAGGCATCTCTACTTCTATTTGGAATTGCTCTAGGTGCTAGCATTTGGACGCAGCAGCCGACCATTGCAACTCTAGTAATATTGACGATCGCGTTTGGAGCACTGTTTTACGGCGCCATAATCGTATCTTGCGTCGTTTATCCAACTTGCCCATCCCAGTCCCCTGCATCGACGATCCTCCTGTTTGTCTTACAAAGTATCAGTCGTTCAATGCGAAGATTACACAACATGCTGGTCCACCGGTCCCCATCGCTCCTCTTTGGAATAGCCTCTGCGTTCAGGCTGCGTACTGATATTCGTAGGGGTGACGATGATGGCGACTCTGAATTGCTGCACAAAGTTGACGCTCTTCAAGACGCGTCTGCGGTTCGCTGGATCATGGAGACAGCTACGGATCCTGATGTCATTACCTCAGCTGCGCTAATGGTTCCTGAGGTTGAATGGCCCAAATATATTGACATCTCCCTTGCGATCATGCAACTACGAAATACCTTTCTAGGTTGCTTCGAAAGCACTCAGGGCAGGCACCCCAAGCTTGGTCGTCATTCAAAGAGGCGCGCAAATGCCTGTGGGAAGCTCTGTTTCACCTATACTTCACGCGGACGGACGGGGGAGATATGCCCCAGCTGTTCTTTGACCCGTTAGAGTCGGCATCAGCGACATCGGTCACGGCGCAGTCTCCTGATATATCTTGGTTCACCTTCCTCGAGCTGCGAGATGTCGAGATGCAATTTATCTGTGACATGATACGGAGCGCCTTCCGACTTAGCTTAGGGCATCATCCTTTCGTCCCCAGGATACCCGACTCACACCTGGCATGGATGTCATTCTCAATTCCGCACTGTTTAGATGCAATTAGCGTTTCCAAGTCAATAGACACAGATGAGCTGTGTTGGATGCTCTTGCGCAAGGCTTGGGCGTATGCGTCCTCGCAACGGCTGGACGAGGGCCTCCAACATGTTATCTGCATCCTCGTACAGCACACCCTGCGACATATGAAGGGAGAACAACAGACCGTATCGCGCCCTATGGAGGCGGCGGTATCGAACGCACTGGGTGCACTGCGGTCGGCACCGAGTGTCGATGCGGATGATGATCAGGTTAATTGGCGGAGCTGTTGGGATTGGTGCAGAAGGTGGAGAGTATGAAACTTCGCGTCACGAGCTGATTCTATCACACTGATGACTCCACTTCGTCAATGCCTCGGTGGGTATAAGTATTGAAATATATTTTATATCTAATTCACCGGATTCCCTGCAAGTGCACTGGCACCAAGTCCTGTAACCTCCGTCTGTCATTTTGTTGGAATTAAACATGAAGTTCATTTCTGCAAAATAAGATCGAAGGCACGCTGCCTCAACTACAAGTATACCTATTCTACTTGGCAGGTAAAATAACTCCTCCGTGCAAGTGCTCCGGTACATGGGCCTTGAGCCACAGCTGGAATACTTCTCCATCATCGATTCTCTTCGACCTGCCTGGGCCATAATGAGAGTAGATCACCGTTAAGCACTTCATTACAACTTTCCAGTTCTCTTGGTGCGATCCCGATGGACGCAGGTCTTCATCACGAAGCCCCGCTAACAGAAAGCCGCTCTTTTTCTCCCCGCATCCAACGGCATCCACTCTCAGCCACTGCTCAAGTGGTCTGGGTTTGCTGAGGAGCTTGCCTTCTTCGTACCGAAGACAGACCCAGGCGAGGACCCAGATGAATGACTCAGCATCATGCTGGTACAAGTGCTCAATTTGGCCTGCAATAGCTTTCTTTGTGAGAAGCTCCAGTGCCATGAATGGTACCGTTCCTGTGCGCTCGAGGCCACTGGGACTTTCGTCTTGAGTCGATGATAAGTCGTAGTCGTTGAGGACGCCGATCCAAAGATCGCCTAATTGGTATACCATGAAGTTGCTTGGGCTAGCATCGCGGTGACGGACGCCGTTCTTCCAGAGGGCATAATGGCCTGTTGGCGTGTTTAATGGACAATAAAGAGCGCGAAGGAAAGAACACCTACAGAGTGCAATTTGCCACCATGCGCTGAGGAATTCCATCCCGCTGAGCGTCGTGATCGGGATAAGCTTTCTAAATACGATGATGTACAAGACTCGGCTGCCGCGCTCGGCGTCTTCAAGTCCCAGTGCCTTTCGGATTTTCGCTGTGGAAGTTTCTTCGAACTTGTAGGACCATAACATCTCTGGGACATGGCCTACCACCTCTGCCTCTTGTTTCGCAATCTCATACACCTTCTTGAGTATGGCAGGCTCGCTTTCACGCGACTCTTCTGGCCAATAGAGCTTGGCAACCAGTCCAGCAGATTTGTTATGAAAATGAGGCGCCTGTTCCAGACCCGATAGCGCCTGGCTCTCCACTGGAAAGAGGGTGGTTGCACGTCCGCGCAGACCGTAATGAGTCGTGCGCTCGTCAGACTTCAAATCCAATTTCAGGTCGACATCCATGCCGTTCTTTTCATCCGGGATGACAATCTTGTCCGAAACTCCAGGCGTAGGCTCGAATTTCGTGTTAAGGCCCCATTGTTTGTATTTCATTCGCTGCATAACGAGGAGCAAGACCATAAAGCGCGGAAGGTCCTGAACGAAGTTGATGCCCGAGCATTGAATTACGTCCTGCCGATCAAAATACCAGATATAAATGACGTCGTCTGCAACGAGCGATAAGTTTGGTGATAGGTCAATGGTAAAACACCGACTTACTCATCACTATAGAGGAGATGACGTGGAGACGCGCGATATGAGCCGCGAACATCTCCGCAGCGTACAGACCATTCTGGACGATAGGATGAAGTTTTTTGGGCTCCTTCTCATCGGCCTCCTTCTCGTTGTTGCTCCTGGTTCGCTTGGCAGAGGGCTCGTTGGAGTCCAAGTGACCAGAGTTACGTTTCCGGTCTGCTTCCATTTTGTCTCTGATTCGCTCAGACGTCCGTCTTACTGCATCACCCACGTCAGTAAGGAAGCAATAGGCGGAGATAGTGAGCGGCTTACACTCATGCGATGCCCCATGGGCGGTCTGAGTAGGACCAACGGCAGGTCCTGAACCTGTTAGCTCAGCTGCTTTGCCTCCGAGTCGCTTGGACGTTTGTCTTGCTGCATCGCGCACATCGGTAAGGAAGTAGCAGGCGAACATACTAGGGGGCTTACACTCATTCGATGCCTCATGGGAGGTCTGGGCAGGCACAGCGGCAGATGTTGAACCTGTTGGCTCGATAGGGTCGTCCGTTTCCTTGCGATACACCATATGAAGATCCTTAGGAACAACGTAATCCGTGTTGTATTTCTTGAACGGCGGAAGAGGCAGACACTTCCGCGTGCGTTTGAACTCCACTGTCGATCGAACATCAATCCATCGGAAGTTGTTGTTGGGCGGCTCAGCGGGCGTTTTCTTTGACATGTCTCGAGCACATTTTTGAGAGACGACAACCACGTCAGGCTTGCGTTTAGACTGTTCACCCTGGTGGTTTTGGAACATGGGCATTGGGTCGTTTGTATGAAATAGGATGTTGCTGTCATCCTTGGCGTTAAAAGTAGTTATGCCAGGCACCTTCAGCTTGCTCAGTTCAAGGAGGGCACAGTTGGCAGCTCTGACGAAAGGCGCATAAGAGGCTTTTTCGTTCTCGGATTCACAACTTGACAATAGCGTTAATCTTCTTTCAGCGTAACTGAATTTTCACTTACAAATTAGTCAAGTGTTTCGCGATTTCCCGTGCTACGCCTGTCCCATTGCAGAGGTGCAGGACGGCCTTGAGGGAAGTTCCAAGTAGTGTCGATTTCTCACTATCAGGAAGGGATTGGGAAGGATCTGTGCACATTTCAAGGAGCTCCTGCAGCATTGTGTCGGCATCGGATTTCCTGAAGTTCTGGACATCTCGCCCGATCCATAGGCGGACATCATCGACTCTGCGTGAGCAGCGAAGAAGTTCATATGGGTAACGGCGGCAGGAGCAAAGGAAAAGCTAACGCACTCAACACCTAGAGTACTGATATGTTCGCTGACAACAGCGGAGCCAACTGCGTGTGGAGTGGACTTGAGCTTGAGCTCGGCGGACACGACAGAGTTACGGAGAGGTGTCTTCGGTCCAGTGGCGCCAGCATTATTATTTGCCATGATGAGAGGCTATAGAAAAGAAAAGAGAACTTTGGGGGACAAAAAGACGCGAACCTAGGCTCGCTTTTAAGCTAGCACAATATCATTGTTAGACATATCAAGCCAAGACCCCCAATCGATAGTTGAAGGAAGTTTAATCGCTGAGCGCTGAGCCACAGTCACGGTGAAGTTTGTGGCGCACGTGACAACGAAATCAAGATTCGAACCACATCATGATGCTACCATCAACATACGTGCACATATGAGCTGCCACCCGCCGCATCCGAGCCAGAGTTCACTTGAACATTTTGGCAGCACTAGGACATACCCAAATCATGTGTCGCTGCCTTTCCCTTTGGCATGTATCCGGTGCGTTTTCTTAACGAACATTTACCATAGGCCTATCTTTTGGTCACCAGACAAGGGTCTTGCATTTCATTCAGGTCCACAAAACAGTGGCACGTGGGCGTCGGGGACTGATAAGGGTCTGATAACTAGCTGCTAACTTCGCGGCCGCCCTTTGCTTCCATTTTGATTTACAAATTTTGAACTTCCATATCGCCAACCTTTCGGATGACGAGTCACCTCTAGTCATCTCCTGAACGCGCAAATGTGGAAATAATCTGATGGTCTTATCAGACGAGTCTCTGTGTGCCTCCGAACAACTGGGCTGTGCGGTCTTTCGCTGTGGAATGGAAGTGGGAGAAGAGGACCCCGACTGCTCCCCCGGTAGCGCTTCAAGAAGTCTGGAAACTACTCATCCTATTGTCCTCATGGTTGCGCCTCGGAGTCCATGGCACGAATCTCATGTCCGACGGTCGTGCACCGAGAGACCCTGGAACACTGATCTCGGACGTGATGCATAATGTACGTTGACCGACGTCGTCGTTATCGTAAATGTACAGGCACTCGATGGTTACGAATTGACTCAAGTAATCTACCAATTAGACTTCGTGAATGACAAGCAGATCTTTCTGGATGTGATAATGTTCGACGAAGAGATGGGGCTCGACATGTTTCTCGCACGAGGAAACCGCTATCCAAACAAGATTGAAGTCACCTTAACGGCAGGGAAACTCCATCTTCAAACCAGGAAATTGGGGGCAATCGAATACCTTTCCAGCCGCACACGGGCTGCGACAAGCAGGCAGACTGACGAGATGCTATAGCCGGTTGGATTATTATTCCGCTAGCTGTCCAAAGCAAAAGCCAGCAAATGCAAATGCAAGGTCTCCACACTGCGATGGACGTGGTGGCATCCTCCCTGCTTCCGCTGCTGGGCCATCTATACTTGTGACGGTTTAGATGTAGTTCAAGGGATGGATGTGATCTGGTTAGCTTGAATATTTGTCGAGGTCTGAATAGGTTTCACCGCAGCCGCAATTAACATTAGAGTCAGGTTCCAAAAGATCCGGAAGCCAAGTTCAAGAGATCGAGTGCGAGAACGCCTACATACCATTTGAATTGAGAGATCGACGCGGCGTCAGTACGAATTACTTACCTTAGCACAACCTTAGCAGGTCGTGGAGACAATGTCGACTTCAAATCAATTTAAAACCACATAGTTCAACTACGGAGTCGTCAATGGAGGCGTATATTCAAAAGTGGGATTGCAACAATCAATGACTTGGGGACCCATCATACGCCCAACCTCAGGGTCGCCATTCGGTCAACCAAACATCTCTTGGTCCCGGAAGTAGACTCTTCTCCCTCCGAATAAACTGACCGTACCCCATCTCCCCAACGACCTCCCCATGGCTGAACACCACCTTACCCCTGATAATCGTGTACCTCGGCCAATTTTTGAACTCGATGCCCTCAAATGGCGTATAGTCGATAGCATGGTGCAGCATATCGTTCGTGAGATTGAATGACTGGAACTTCGCTTGTGGGTACCAGATTACCAGGTCAGCGTCGAAGCCAGGGGCGATGCTACCCTTTTTCTTCAATCCGTATAGCTTAGCCGGGTTGGTCGATGTTACCTCAACGAACTTCTGTGGGGAGATGCGCCCAGAAAGGACGCCGCCGGAGAATAGAAGCGGAACACGAGTCTCCACACCAGGTAGACCGTTCGGGATGAAACGGAATTTGCCGTATGGAAGGTTCCCGTGTTGGAGACCGCGCTGCTTTCCATCTGGATGGTGGTACTTGGTAGGGGAGTGGTCTGAAGAAACGATGGTGAACGTTCCATTCTTTATCCCGGCCCATATGGCATCTTGGTCGCACTTGTCCTCTCGAACCGGAGGTGAGCATACGCACTTCGCACCTGTATGTGACCCGTGAGAATAAGAAAAACAGAAACGGAGAGGAGTCATTACCTTCGAAGTCCCCCTGCCGCATGGAATCGGCAAGAAGGAACATGTACTGGGGACACGTTTCGCCGTAGATAGGAAGGAGCCTCGTTTGTGCATCGCGGATGTGCTTCGTGGCAGGCCCGCCGGATATGTGTACCAACAGGATCGGCGTATCCATGAGCTCAGCCAGACAGATCACGCGGTTCTGTTGTGAGGCTAAGCATGTCATTTTGGACAAGGAAAAGTTGACTTACCGTCGCTTCAGCCTCTACGATCGGAGGTCGAGATGTGCCATGGTGATGAGGATGCGTCATGAGCTTCTGCTCGAGATGCTGTGTCATCCAGTCGATAATATCGGTATTCTCGGCGTGCACCATAGTGGTGATACCAAGTTTCCGAGCGGAATACATGACGTCGAGAATCTGATAGTCTTGAAGTTTCAAGGGCTTGTATGTCATATACAGCTTCACACTCGTAATTCCATACTCGTCGACCATACGCGGAAATTCATCTTCCACGATTTGTGGCGTCGGATTGGAGATGATGACGTGGAAAGCGTAGTCGCAGTAGGACTGGCCCTTGGCGAGCTTATGATAGTCCTCAATGACAGGAATGATACTCTCGTCCTTCTTCATTTGAGAAGCGAACGTAACTACTGTTGTTGTTCCTCCAGCTACCGCACTGCGCGTGCCGGTGTCGTACGTGTCACCGACATAGTTTTCGCGATCTGGGATGGCCCCATTCGTAATTACAGAGCGATCAATATTCACGTCGACGGCTGCTTCGTATATCTGCACAACATGATAAGAATCTGATAACAAAGGAAAAAAGAACAACACCAGCCTGGCTCAGATGGACATGGCAGTCGACTCCTCCAGGAGTTATAAAAGCCCCTTCAGCGTCGATCTCTTGCGCACCGGGTGTGACTGGAAGACGAGGACCAACAGCGACAATAGTTCCATCCTGATATCATAGGTAGAAATATACTTATTAGACTCGGAGACGACAACAAGCGGGATTCGTACTTTGACACCAATATCACAAGACTCCCAAATATCTGAGGCAGTCACGATGGTACCATTGCGAGCGACAAGGTCGAAATCCATGGTTGGGTATCAACGAAAGTACCAAGCATATCACAAGAGACGATAGAGATAAATACTCTTCTAGAGATAACAGGAAGACCACATGAACGTCATCTTACCTTCATCTCCCAGAAGCGAGGTCTCGTGCCAGGAAGTATACCTCGATCGTGACTGATTTTAGTATATAGTCAGGCGTCCGATAAAAGCCTAGTCTCTCGGGACCCGTAGTTAGACCTTGAAAGAAGGAAGATAGTCTCGTTCCTTGAATTTATCAAGATAAACGCCTGACATATGCTCATTCAAAGGTTCGGAATGTTCCTCACTGGCCTATTGCCTTCCGAATTTCGATATTTCTGATGTTCTATGTTTAAATCAGTGCATTGATTGGATAGGAAACCTCCTCACCCGAAGATGGTATGCCGAGCTCATAGGTTCATCGTACACTTGAAGGACACTGCACGGCTGTTCTTCATACACACCCGCAGCACATGGTTATCAGAGTCAGAAGAAGGCTGTCACGGTAGGAATATATAGATCTAGAGTCAAGTTGTTGAACTTCCGGTTGGCAGATGCTGCATGCTATGACGGCAATTCAGTGCACTACAACTGCCATGCCAGCTGCACCCATATGTGCTTTAGTACTTGTGCACCTTCGTCGCTTATCGCAGTGATGCATCGATGAACTTTGAACGTTGAATATTTCGAAGTTCGAACAACGGAAAAGGCCCGTGGTGATCAATTACTTACATAGAAACATAGCCATGAGTACAAACAAACTCATACAAATACAGGCTCGACGCCTTAAGGCTTCTGATCATTTACCATTACATGCGGACCATGGTCTCCAATGTTCACCCCAACGGACCCGACAACAGCACTGCGGACATTCTCCAAGGAAGGGAGCGCATCGTATCTTACCCTGGTACGAGTCAGTTCAATGGTCGCGGTATATCGGCATGTGGCCTTGCAGCCATGAATTTTGCGAGAGTACTTTCTGAACTCGCCCACATCCATAGCCAGGAGAAGTTGGCAGATCTGATTCGAGCCATCACCAGCAAAGAGATAATTGAAGTCAGTGTTTTGTATGCGTCGGGGCCCCTCACTTCTCATAGCCCCTCACTACTACTTACGAAATATCACACTCTAGGACATTGTCTCCATCTGCTCAGGATGGTCAAGTGACCTGCACCTGGAAGTCGAAGATATCCAGCGGGTTCCTCTATTCGACAAGTCTCTGAAGCTTGTAACAACCCGGTTTGGTCCCCCACAGTTGAAGCATTTTAAGCGTACCCTGCAGTGAGTTCGATCCTTCCTTCGTCGGTTAAATCATCTTCATCTTCTGGCGATCTTCTCAGATACATGCAGACATTGACCTCCTCCGCAACCGTCATCATCACCCGCCCTCCTGAGATCATCGCATGCATGAAGATCAAAGGACCGGGCACGGACGTCTTCGTGATTTTTGATTCTCACCCGCGGCCCAGCTACCCTTCTGGAGCTGGCCTTATTCTCAGTACATCGATTGATCAAGCTGCCTCGCGCTTGGCCAGTATATTACCTGCTGCCGACAACCATCTCCTTTCCCTGAGCGGCTTGCAATGGCAGGCTCAGCTGCTTAATAACGTCTCAGGCCACATCTTCGTATCAAATGGACCACCCGCAGGCATGCGAGGCATGCAGCAGTCCGTAATTGAGTCGAGTTTAGCTGTTCTGAGGTTGCAAGCCGAAGTGGCTGGGTTGAAGCAGAAAAATGCCAGGCTAACTTCGGAAAACGAGATGCTTGAAGGGGACGCTCAACGCTTGGAGGATGCTTTGAGTGTCGAGAGGAAGAAAGTGACGTCGCTCGAGGCATCCTCCAAGATCGTGCAGAGCAGGAGTGCACGGCCCCTCCCAGCATGGCCTCCGAACGCAATAGCTGGGCCATCGCGACTGGCTTCCTCAAATTACTCGTCCTCTTCTTCCGACAAAACCCTGAATTGCAACCGCGATGCACGCGCTTGGCCATCGCTCTATGATGCAATCAAGAATGACCCTTTAGAACATGAGTGGGAGCTCGACGGCCTGAGTACAACTGCGGCCTTCGAATTACAGCAATCTTTTGACATCGAAGATATGCAACTTCGAAATCAGATGCACGCTCTGGTTGCCACAATCCCTCACAACTTTTCGTGCGCGATATGCATGGAAGAACAACCTGCGGACAACAGTGTGGAGCTTGAATGTAATCATCCGATATGCAGGGTTTGTATCCGAGGGCACGTTTGTTCGAAGATCGAGGAACATCGATTTCCAGTCCTATGTCCCGTGTGCATGACAGAACCAAATAATCGTCGACCTGGAGGTTTGTACATCCTCTGTAGTGCCCACTGCTAACTCACCCTCCGTAGCGATCTCAGGACTCCTTGTTCAGCAAATCGGTGTCGATGAGCGGCAATATGCAATTTGGGAAGAAATGGAACTAAGCCAGCTTTCAGTTCTCCTTCACTGCCGCAAGTAAGTGTGTCACCTGTGTTACGTTCCAGCGTGTCGACCGTGTTGTTTAGATGTCAGCGGTCCGTGCCCGTAGACAAAGGGGAGCATGAAGAATCTCGCCTGCTGATTTGTCCTCTACCCGATTGCAGCCATATTTGGTGCAAAGCGTGCCAGCAATCTATTACTATCGGCGGTCCTCCCCATTCTTGTGACGGGACCTCGGAACTGGACCATTTAATGAAGCAACGCGGGTGGAAATACTGTCCAAGTAAACATTCTTCTTATCGACTATCTGCTGTTACTTATTGTCATTAACAGACTGCAAAACACCAGTCCAGAGGGACGGGGGATGCAGCCATATGACTGTACGTGATCTACTTCTAGACAGGCATGTCGTTCTAACATTTACACTGTCGTAGTGCATCTCGCCGGGCTGCAACACTCACTTTTGCTACATTTGTGGGGAAAACATCGTTCGCAGCGCCTTGCGTAGTGAGATTCAGACCGCGATGTCTGCTCACTATCGCGTTTGTAAATTGTTTGATTATCCTGGGGAGTGAGGTGCTCGGCAGTGGCGAATAAGAGTGTTGTAGCGCTCATTACGTAGAGTTGCTGTGTATACATCGTTATGACGGATCTTTCAGAAATGCAGGGACGGTTTCGGATTCGAATATTACAGCGGGTTGGAGAGGTAAGCCATCAGCAAAAGTGCCCAAACCTGACGAGGTCTTGGATGGCCTAACAAGACCATACACGACCTTGCGAATATTGGAGGGCCTGCGATGCCTTGCGAGGAAATAGCCCCGTCTTGGATGGCCTTCTGAGAGCGCGTCTAGGATGGCTTTTCGAGGGTGTGCTAGGTAGGTTGACCTTGCGAGGCTGCTAAGGCTTTCGAAGCTTGCAAAGGTATACTAGGCCTTGCTAGATCACTCGAGACTTGTGTACATTAGAAAGCCTTATGAGATCACGCGAGTTGTGTGTACTTTGAAGGGCCTCAAGAGGCAATGCATTAGTGTACAGTATCAAGATACATCATGTGTATGAAGTCCGAGTCCATATCAGTAAAGTCCAGAGCGTGATTGAGTTGATGGCAGTGGTCAACAAGCGGCAAAATGAAGAATGAAGAATGAAGCTGCGAGAAAGTTTGTAGTCCTAGTAACCGTTCTTGCATCGACCAGAAGTTCTTTGTGGGGCGTCCAGAGCCGTAGTAGCTTTCTTTTTTCCTTTTCGCTTTGAAGGATGAGTGAGGGGTGGAGGGGTGAAGTTGTTGTCATTGTCAGTCAGATCTGACAGTGGGGATGAGGTGCGTGGAGGTACTGGTGTGGTCGCTGGCCGGGACTCCTAATCATGACATCAACAGAGTAAAAAGAGAATGATCATAGTGACATACCCCAATCATACCCAACTGCTCAGCCACAAGCTCACCTACTGAATCCTCATGCTCATTGCGAGTAGTACGATGAGGTTTCGGCTTCGGTTTCGGTTTCGGCTTTGGACGTGGAGGCTGGTCCTCATCATCATGGTGAACAGAGGCACTTGCAGGATGGTGTTGCTCGCTTGACCGAGGTCTTGGTTCCTCTCCATCAGAATCTGCAGGGCCTGCTCGGATCGAAGCACGAGCTGTATTGTGGCCAGCAGCCTCAGTGGAATACCGAGGCTTGAACTTTGGTGGCAATGGGATGTGGGGATTGGACTGGCGCCGTTCACGAGCATCAGATTCTGAGCGGTGGGTTGGGTTTTGAGCTGGTACCAGTTTGTCTTCTTCGTCATCCGAAAAAAATACACCATGATGGTGCTGGGGCAAGGACTTCTTAGGTAGTGGGCGCTGTTGTCCACCCTGTCGAGGGTGAGTTGGTAGTGGTGCAACCTCATCGTCGTCATTGTCATAAACTGAAGCATGGTGTCGAGTGTTGGCCTTTTGAGGATGTGGTGAGTCGAGGTCCTTGCTTGCTTGTTGAATTCATTTGGGTGCATGTGGGATATCCTCTTCAGGGTGGCGCTCTGCAGGGCGGGTGCGCTTGCCACTTGTTGAGGGCTCACGAAGCTCATTAGGGTTGCCTGGATGTGACGGTGGTGAGAATTAAACATCAGTAGCAGTATCACATACCATTTGATTGAGCTAATGCAGAACGGCATGTGGCTTGCTGAGCACGAATTTGTGCGATGTCGTCATCGCTTTCCTTTCACATGAGCTTGGCAGAGTGTGAGTTCTCCTTGGTTGGTTTGAGGTGCCTGTGAACAATTAGAACTGAGCTAACCATGCAGAAAAATGTACCTGTTCCACCACGCGAGGGTGTCTTTGACCCATGGATTGTTGTCGTTGTCTAGCATTTCAATGATGGCCCAGAGGAGCTCATCCAAGTCCATGTCGCCAATACACTGTGTCCAGTGCTGAGCGCTGCTGATCATAAAGTATGTCTATGGGTTCATGAGAGGGGCATTGATACCAATAGCAAAAGAGCTAAACTTACGATAATGTGAACATATGCGATGATGTATTTGTTAACAGCTGTCAGTCCCCATGCACAATTTTTGGATGGCTTCGCAGAGTTGTGAACATTTGACAAGTCATTCATGACAGATGATGGTCCAATAAAAAGATGTTTATAAAACTATAGTAACTTCGTTATAAACTTTAAATGATAGCGTAAAAGATGAAGACGCACCCTCAGAACAATGTGGTTTCAAAACAGGCCGTGTGTCTTCTCAGCAGCGTCATAAATGCCATGTTCATAAAAGAATGTTGGCCAATTGTGTGCCATCATGGTGATTTCGCCAGCTTGCAAGGCAGCCATAGCACTGAAAATAGTGACGTCAGTACAAAGAATGAAAAGTAAAACATACACAAACCAACTTCTTCCGAGGGCAAAGTAAATGGGCCAACTGTGGGTGATTGAGCCCACGCATCGACTTATCCTCGATTTCTGGAATTGGCGGGTCAAGAGCATCAGCCTTACTATACATATTCAGCCCAATGTATTGCAGGCCCTTGTGCTTGATGGAGCTCAAATCGGCCGACCTGCCGTCGCTCATACCCTTCAATACCTATCATGCAAAAGATCAGTTGTCAGGGTCAGATTTGAGTAGAAACAAGCACATATAGTTACCATTGCAATGATCATGTTGAGTTTTTTTGCTTGATATGTGGTCGAGCTCGCTCTCGAGACCAGGAATATAGTCGATGACGCCATTGTAAAGTAACAAATGCTGATTGGTGACATCTTCAGGTCTGTAGCGAGTTAGCTGTCATGTGAGATATATATAAGGTACATACTGTTTCAGGTCGCGCTTACCCCCTTGGTCAAATTGAAGACCAGTCCTGAAGGCTGCGGAAGGTATGCCAAACGTATCCAGAAGGCTCGAAGTCTTCCTTCCCGCATTTCGGTACAGCTCAGTGTCATCCATTTTCGAATCTTCGTGTTTCCTGCTGCCAAAGGTCAAAATTTTATGGCACAATTCAGATTACAATACCTTGTTGTGTGCTTGCGAGAGCCTGATGATATGGAACTGATGAGGTCGTTGGTGCTGGTGTCACCGGAGGAATTCTTATGCTTGCGTTTGCTAGGCCTTGATGGTTCTGGTGACTCTGACCACTTATTCTTGCGTTTTCCAAGTTTCATGGGCTCTGGAGAGGATCTGATGGAAGAAATGCTAGTGCTTTGTATATACATTGCATCCGAGTCGGGGGGATCAGAAGAGCTTGACGACGTGCCAGGATGACGACGTGAAGACATGATGGTGGTTAGACGTAAGGGTTAGGGCATGGGACCGATATGATTAAGTTCCAAATGTTTGGTTATGTTGACATGATATTAGGTCACATGATTATATGCGCTATATACGCAACAAGAAGTACAAAATTAATTCTACAGTTACACTGACACACTGAGGTACATCCCTATAGTTGGGGTCAATGCAATAATCAAGATATACAAGAAAACACGTACTTGGAGGTGGCCTCACAGACCATGGTAACATCTGGATCTTCCTTGATGACTGGTGGTGCGTTGACATTCCCTGTTCCCTCTGCCTCATCTGCGCTATCATCATCTTCAGTTGAGCGAAAATTTGACGCATCCTTCAAGCGTAAAATGAGCTTATATAGTGTAGATATCAGTTTTTGAGAGTAATTCAGAAAATAAAAAGATTACTTACCAATGGTCCTGGATGCTCGGGTGTGAAGTTGATTGTGTAAGTCGGCCATCCGGCAAGAAGATTATCAATCTCCATTATGACCACGTTGTCGTGGAAGAAGGAGGTTCTGTTGGCCAAGTTGAGAGGTGTCATGAATGTTACCAACTGCATCTAAATTTCGATTATCAACCCTAAGTCACCTTATCCGATAAGATTAGATTAGATAGATCCCTGATAAGATAAGATGGATAACCGATTAACGATCACTATCTTTACTTCACATCTATACTACATCGACGTCATCCATCTATATCCGTAACCCTAGACATACGAACTCATCATATCCTTAGAAGTCCTATGATTAGGCAACGGGTTACATCAGGGTTACATCATAAGCATCTACATGCCTCTATGATCGAACCATAACCGAGAGTCCTTTACGAGCTATCTCTTGAAGAGTTATCACCTCTTCACATCGCAGACCTTCACTTCTCACACATGACACGTTAAGAGTTACCTCTGCCATTCACCGAACCCCTTACATTAGAACCTGTTGCACAGTCACAGCTAGAACCCATAACCCTTATCACAGAAGCACCGCTCATAGAGAAGCATGCTCATTACCGAAGACCCTGGAGAACCCCTAGATCCGATCGTACCCGATACATCTCCAGATCCTATCTAGATCCTCAGATCTAGATCCCCAGATTCCATCTCTTATCGAGATCCTTAATTAACGCTCGAGACTTCTTGTCACAGAACTCTCTCACACCCTTCTTAATCTCCGCTCACCCTGAATAGAAGCAGTCCCTGAGAACCCTGCTTAATCACTGATACCCTTGACCCCTATGAACCCTCTACCCTTTCTTCCTTGTAGTTGATTGGTTGATAAGACGCCCTATACCCAGGCGCAATGTTATGATCTTATATAGATATATCACTACCTTTCATACTCAGATATCTCCGCCTAGAGAGTAGTATATAGTTTAGGTCGTAGTCAGTAGTACTCCTTAGACTTAACCTCTTCATTCCTACCCAGTGTAGACTCAGACGTTCACTCTCAATAACATCTCTTGCTCTTATCCTTGATGAGTCCTAGTGGTTGTGTTAGGCCTTTACCATTTGGTGAACGCTGATCATAACATTCACTGGGTTAGCATCAATTCATTTCACAGGTGGCAGTTACTGACGATGTCATACACACAGAGCACCTATGATCCTAAGGTTTATTTACTGTTACATCATTACCTGCTGGATTCCTCATTTCATGTTCCAGGCATGCGGTAGGCATTCTACTACTTGCGCTGGAAGATTGCTAATTTTATCTCAGGTATCTGCACACCAAACGCGCAACGTGCATGGCGCAAGAAAATGGGTCTCATTAGCATCATCTTGATGGAGATGGCTGAGACCCGACAAACTGCCATGTATCTACCACAGCAAGGCAGGGACCAGCTGCAATGAAGCCTCAGGGGCAGGTCTACTACACATGGGATTATGTTGCAGCTTCCAATCGCAATTTGGCCATCTTTGAGTTGTGAGTTTCTACGCTAGTTGACATTGTCTTATTTTGACCCTTTTTCTAGAAATGTTCTCGACCTAGATCTCCTACAGTGGCTCAGCACCGCTGAGATCCAGTACCCTGCTCTTTTTGCGATTTCTGCCAAAGTGCCACCACTTATATCAGCACCGGGATAGGTTTGTGTGATTGAGCCAGAGTATCAGTTCCGTGCTGCTGATGGTTCAAACAACAACCCTGATGCTCCTGACCTTGGCAAAGCTGGTACACCTTATGCATGGTCTGTCCAGCAGTCAAACCCCTTACCGCGCAACCAAATGCCCAACGCTGGTCTTGTCTTTGACACCCTGCTCTACAGAGACAAGGTACGTACATGCGACAACATTTGCTTCAATCTCTTATGCAACATAATTTATAGTTTATCGAGCATCCCCAGGGCCTGTCCTCCCTCATGTTCTCCTTTGCAGCACTTGTCATCCACAGTGTAACTTTCCACAACATGCTCAAGACCATCAGAGATGAGACTCATGAGTGTAGTGTGCAGCTCAGTATACTCAAACCATCGACAAAGCTCGCTTGCTTATACGCACACTTGAAGCAGTAGTACAAGCTTTGTACGATGACACAGCTACACTGCTTCTCACGATGCAGCGAATTCGTCATCTTACCTGCAGAGCCTCACGGCAAGATCGCAACTTGCAGTGCAAGTACCTAGACACGATCTCCGTCTCTCTCAAGTCAAATATCCAACTCCTCATGCAAACCCTTGATACACTGCTTTCCCTCGGCCACGATCAAGCAGACATGGCACAAGGGGAATATACAGGTGCAATAGAGTGGCGCATGTCACTGTTAAGCATCATTGACAGCAACTTTGATGCCCATCCCATGTCGGTCCTCAACCCCACAGATCCAGAAAGCGAAGACATTGTTGATATCGAAGTTGCTTTGGGTGCATCTGGAATGAAAAAGTCTGCGGCCATCCTCGGCGACCGAACACTAGCATTCTGAAGTCAATTGCAATTGTCTGACACCACCATTACCCTTACCGATCAGTCACTTAGGACGGCAGCTTCAAACTACGACCCTACTATGTCTGTACACACCCTGGTCCCTTCAATGTTTGAGAAACCGCAGGATGTCCTGTCAATGAGCAACTCGGCTTCAATCCTTGATGACGACTGTCAGTGTCATATGTTCGTTTCCCTCTCTTTCTCTGCTTATGATCTGTACAGCCGCGACCACGAGAACAGCAATGAAGATCAAAAAAATCTTTGGTGATGATGCTCCTGAACATATCATCAGCACCAAACCCTGGTATCTACGCCCCAACTACATGAAGAATGACATGGTCATCGATGTGGATGCTTGATTATGGTGGAAGCGCCAGTACCGAGAGTACCAGCTGATGGTGCAGGTATCGGTGATGACGCAGCAGGCTGGACTCCACGTTGTCAGATCTTGTTCTTATCAGATTGTGGTGAGCGTTGTGGTAAATGAACTACAAGTCAGAAAGTTAGTAATGTGGGACACATAGGTGGCCCAACGGTGAATTCCTGGAAGAGGTATAATGGTGCAGGGGTGCGCGAAGTCCCATTGCCCAAACTAACCACGTCAATTGAATTGATAGCCTTACCCCTGAACTTATTTCTGACACCCTCAACTCCAGGGAACTTGCTTTCATCCACCCCGGGCCCCCCTTCTTCACCTACTGGTCTGGGTGAGCAGAGTCTCTATCAGAAGAACTAGATAACAATTTGCAATAGAGGCAATGCTGGTCCCTAATGACCGTTCTGTATCTCAGTGTATGTAGCTTGCATGCCACATGTGGTTGACCAGTTGTGCCAATTTGAATTCCAGAAGGACTTCATCATGAGTCGAAGTCATTGATCGTCGGATCATAGCAGTGGTACACTATTAGGCAAGGCCGGTAAGCAATGATGGACGGTAGGAGCTGGTTTGATGGGCGTCTTCAACCTCAATGATGCAATGACATTCAACCAATGTCAAGGGCTGACACTAGAGAAAGCCGTGCTTGACTTGCACACAGATTCGTTCGCACACTGACAGCTATACACAGCACTATCAAGAGTGCGATGTCGACAAGACATTCGATCGCTATTCGGAAGAGAGGGAGAGGAAAAGACAATGGCAAATGTAGTGTACAGACATCTCTTATTGTGATTGACAATGGAAAACATCCGAAGGTGTAAGGAATGCTTGTTAAAAATAACAGAGCTTATTCTAACCTATCTTGTTGCGTGCCATTGTCAGTCACAAGTCTGCAAAACTATCCTCAAAGTCGTTCACCACATCCTCCCCATCTTCCAGACCGAAATCAACTGCATTGTCAGTCTCTTCACCTGCGCCATCCTTGTCGAGGACTTGGTCAAGGCCAGAGTAACCGTATTCATCCATCTCATCAGCAACGGTGTCATCTACCATCGCTTCGAAGAGAGCCGACACTGGAACTTCATCGTCGTCGGTGCTGTCTGCCTCACTATCGTCCGAGCCATCATCACCACCTTCCTCATCTCCATACCTGCCCTCTTCCAACTCTTCATGTTCCTCCATATCCTCATCTTCAGAGCTCTTGTTGAATTCCGACCCACGGCGCTCTTTCTCTCTCCGGAAAGGAACCGTATCCAATTCATCACGGTCATCAAGTAGGCATGATGTCTCTCTTCATATGGATTTATGCCCAACGCCTCCCCCACACAAGCGCATGAACATATCTCTGTCAACAAACCTGGTAGTACCTCAGATTTAGTTCATTGTGAAAGGGGGAGTAACTGACATATTGATGTAGTACCAGTCCCAATCTTCATCATGGTCTGCTGTTTGGCGAGCGATGGATGGTCCAAGTAGATGCTTTGTAAGTTTGTACCGAAATGCTGGGATAATGTGAACACCTTGAATAACCAAGTCAGGGTCCAGGAACCCAAATGCTGATTCATCCTCTGCGTCATAAAATCCAACTTGTGGCAATCATTTTGCGGCCCAACCAGAGGGTGCAGTGACATCATGGGAAAACCAGCAGACCCACAAAAAGTCAAAGCGCTTTATAGAGGGATGTGCACCTGGTCTGGTGTAGCGGATATTGACATGAAAGACTCCAATAACTCGTGCATACCAGTACGGATGGGACTCTTCGTTGTTGCGGGCAAGAACCATGATGTCTGCATGTGTGTGGGGATTAAGGGAGTCCTGAGCATGCTGCATGTCATACGTAGTGTAGTTGACACGAAGAACTTTGTGACAATAAATCCGGTTGTTGATAATGACAACAGAGTTTCGCTGCGCAGTATTAAATGAAGTTTCATCACCATCGTAGTCCAGCCCTAACAAGCGACCCAGAAGGTGGTCTTTGAGACACGGAAGAAAATTCTAATGGCATCCAGTGAATAAATATGATTGACATAAATCATGTATCGGCAACTTTACCTTTGTGGCCTGGTCATTTCTGTTCTTTCCGAGCCAGGAAGAAACATCCCAGAAATGTTTCTGCGACGAGGACATTTGATAATGGATCTCTGGTGAGCAATGTGGCAGTGGGTCCTGGTCAACAAAATGAAGAGATGGGCAGAGATCCTCTGTCTCAGGCTGCACATGATCCTCTCTTGCAGCCTCCCTTTCACGGTTCACCTCTCTCATCTTCTGCAAAATGCGCTCGCAGCGCTGAAGTCTTGCAATTCCACACACAAATTTGTTCTTGTTGGTCCGTGCATAAAATCGCTTCACTCTTCGATGCTCGAGTTCGCCCTAACACTACCATTAGTGGATCATCAGTTATTCATGGATTCCGATACTCACCACTTGTGTAGAGTAGTTGTCCGTAGTCCCATACTGCCAGATCGACTTGACGTAGTCTCCGAGAGCATGGAGTTTGTAAGTTGAGAGGTTGAGGAGCCGTTGCTTGGAGGGGCCATCACCTTCAGCATCTGTATTTGTCCCTTCTGACCTTTTGTTCTTGCCTTTAGATGCATTAAGACGCTGGCGCTGTGCACGAGCAGCTGTTTCACGTGGTAGATCATGAGTAGCAAACTTTTTGCATGTATTGTTGCAGAATTGCTGGAGAGCCTTTCCTAACCGTGTTGTACAGTTATCGAAATGGTAGAGCATTGTCTCTGTGTGCATACGAAGCTTCCCGAATGCATGCCAGGTGGCTAGCTCAAACAGAACGTTGAGGATTGAGTTGTTGAATGGTTCTGGTAGAAGTCCATCAAATACTGGCATCGCACACTGCCAGCATTGATCAGTGTAACAGCAGCTGTATTACTTATATTCCTACCTGAAGCAGGTCTTCGAAATCACGCACTGCAAGCTTCGTAAGACCTGATACATTATCACTGAACTTCTGGATGGTGTCTCGTCCAAATGTTGGTATGAGACGATACCTATATTGTGTTGGACACACAAATATATGAGAAAAACCGACTTACCGCTCATTGAGATCTTGCACGACAGTACCTCCATATGAATACAAAATTCGGAGAAGGTGAGTAAGGGTTGCCTTCCATACTCCTAACTCAAACTCGTGCATAAAGTCGGGCACGAGCATTGAGTGGAAATCAAAACCGAACTTGGCAAGCTTCTCTGAAAAGGCATTCTGATACTCACAGTTAGTCAACTTTGAAAGCTCGATTCAAATCATACATACACAAATAGGCGCGACAGAGGTGGCACCAATGATTCTCTCAATTGCAGAGCTGACTACACTATAGCCTCGAATGAATATGAGTTCACAGGCTCGTTCAATGAGACTACGCCGTGGATGATTGTCGACTCGAGAATTTCTGGTGCGCTGTCGTCGATCAAACTTTGTCCCTAATTTGAAAATGTTGTCTTTGCTAACAAGACACCGTGGGCATGGACACCTCCCAAGGAATTTCATGCACGCAAGTAGAACCCTGACATCATAGAGATTAGTATGGTGCGATCAAGTAAGATGTGAAACAGACTTCTCTGGATAATCAGCAGAATAAGTGAAAAAACGTGGAAATACACGACGAAAGACTCCATCAGGGAACTTGACAACAAAGCCATGTCGATATGCATCTATGAAATCAGCATCGAGTAGGAAGCACCAAATGGCCTGCATCAATTCTCGTTTGCAGTGTGTGAGTACTGCTCCTGTCGCACTACAACCAAAAGTCTTCTTGTAGAAGTCTTGGATAGTATCCGACAGCTATACACCTAATTAGTAGTTCGTATCTTGAGTTTAAACAAAGACAGACCTTTGGAATATATGCGAGATGATGTGCTGCAAATGATGTTGGCTTGCCACGAGTATACTTTGACTGATTACCAATGAACAAGTATATCGGCCAGAGAGAAGCATTTCCGAAGCTTGCTAAATGAGTGGAATCGGACCAAAGCATGATCGCAGCTATGACAGTTTCTAGGTTACAGTCTGGTTCACGGGGCTGCGAGTTGAGCTTCGCTTGCTCTTGAAGCATGGCATCAGATGTATACAGTTCGGTAATGATTCGCTCTGGGGGTTCGTCGTCCTCTGGCTGCCAGAATAGTTTATATGACTTCGTGTGAAATGTTTTGGCTGCAACTTCTGCATACACCGATTTGAGGACCTCTAATGGTTTGCGATAATAGAGCCCGTCAACATCAAATTCAGGCGCGTGATCCTCAGAAGAGAACTTCTCTTTTTCACATGGTAGCCGGATTTTCACTGAGGCCTCGTGCCATCCATCAGATGAGAATATGGATGAGGCGGGGTCGTGTTGGGCCTTCTCGAGACATGATGCCTCCCTAGGCGCATTAAAATCTAGCAAATCCTCCCGGCAGAAATCCTCTGCTAACATGACATCATTGACCAAGCGATTGAGATCTTGCAATGATTTCGAGATTGACGAGTTATAAAACCATGTCATGAGCTGAAAAACTGTAGTGTTAAGGAATGGTGCAAAGTAATCATGATGGACCACTTCAAGTGACTGTCCAAAGCCAGCATACCATGGCCATTCGTAATCAGCGTCCCTGTCATATACCTGATCCGACCGCCCTAGTATCAATATCCGCTCCGCTTTCCAACCCCCTCCGCTCCACCCAATCATCATCTGCATCCGCTCCGCTCGACCACTCAACCAGTCTCCTCCCATAACATCTCCATTCAACTGGACCTCTTTCCTCTTTTAGATATATGCTTTCCCTTTCGGTACTTAGACCTTTACTTCCGGATCACCGGTAATTCCTATTACCGCTCGATCACTGATCCGACGCGTACATATTGATATCTGCCCCAACCTATGTCTTTCCTATGTAAAGTACTTACAAATGATATCCTTGGTACATAGCTTTACTACATAGTTATCCTGGTCACTGCCTCATACATAGAAGTATATAACATATCATGTACTTAGATATTTTCCCTTAGTCTTAATATTACTTGTCTTCTTGCAGTTACTACTTGTGAGAATTCTCAGTAGGACCTTGCCTCCTTTGGACACAAGTTTCAGCTTGTTGTTACCTCCGACCCTCCGCTCCGACTTAGAGCCACGCTCTAAGTCTCTCCCTTATTTCTCCGCCCCTTTCCATATTCCCCTCTGAACCCTTTTCCATCCTCCACATTATCCTTTGCCTTCTCTGCTCCCACCAGACATTCCCCCTGCTCCTATTCACCACCCACATTGTTCCCTGCCTTCTCTGCTCCGCTCCTAGTTGGTCCACCGCTAGCAGCTCTTACTCCCCGACCCCCAAAGCGGACCCAAGCGGTCCACCCGTCCTACCGTCGGACAACGTCGGACCCACTCCAAATTCAGGACACGTACTCAGCTAAGGGCGCAGCGCAAGAGCTGAAGCCAAGCCCCAACCCCTCTGCCTCTTGAGCTGGCACGGTACCTAACAGTCCCCATCAACATGCTGGAATGTTGAGGAGTCACAAAGTGCATCAAAGTATGCTGAATGTTCGGGGTCGTATGTTGGAAATGAGTGAGGGTATTCACGAAAAAGGTCGAATGCATCAGTGTCTGTACAATATTGCTCAGTAGGGGGGGGGCATGCTCCGATGATGGTCTGTCATCAAAGTCCATGGCAATGTCACCAGGGTCATCAGGTGCTGGTGCTGGCTCATCTGGGGCAACCAGAGGTGGGGCAGGAATTGGCAGGGCAGGAACTTCATCACGATAACGCTTGGGGAGACGTATCTGGCGGTTGGGGCGCCCAGATGGTCGTGGCAATTCTGACATGTCAATATCTGGTACCTGTTCATATGATAATACTACATGAATATCAAGGTTAAATTTTTAGAAATAATACTCACTTCGTCAACACGAGGCTGCTGCTGCTGTCGTCAACAATGCTGTGCCTCATGTTCATCTTCCTGTTGCCGTTCTTCCTCTGCACAGGTAGCTTCAGCAATTGCTTGTCGGTGCTCCAGCCGTTCAGTAAGCGCTGATGTTGTGGCTACATCACGCATGTGGCAGTACCTGCTGAGGTGCATGGAAAGTCCACGGTCACGAACTTCAACATCACAGTTCGGACAGTTGACCATAGAGATAAAAGCGAGCAAAAAGAATAGTAAGACAAAGTAGAGCCGCATCAAGAGGTGCTGCTGGAGAGGTGCTGGTTGATTGATGATGATTGATGAGTCTTAAATACACATAGTATGAGATCAGTCCGAAGGGAGGTGTTTCAAAGGCATGAACCGAACCAGAAATAGGACTCGGACCGTACCTTTGAAACACAAACTGTTACTAGAAGTAAGGTTTCCCTCGCAATCCCATATGAGACATTGTCGATCTTGAAACCGATAGGATAAGGTCTGGGTAGATAATCTGGGTGACAGTCGAGATCAGTTCGCAATTGAGATCACATGCTTCTGCTCAGTGACAAGATACTGTATAATTTCGACCTTAGGTTCGTCACACTGTAGCTAGCTTGATGAACCGAACCTATTTTTTGTGACAGTCACAGCTGTTTTTGGGTTGACGAACCTAATTTTGTGACATAACATATGATATGTTTGTTTTGAGATATGTTTTTTAGGAAAACATTCACCTAACCACTTTTTCCACTCCTTATTGTCTTTTTTGAGCTATACTGTGTGTAGAAAGTACATATATTATCCTACTGAACATGTATATATGAACCTTATGAACTTATTTTAAGTTTGTCACAGCTGTCCTCGAGAGACGAACCTGTCACAAAGCCATTAGGTAATGCAGTGCAGAAACTCCCACGAACCTAAGGTCGAAATTATACAGTACCAAAGATAGCGCTCATCTCAAGATGTGGAGCTAAGAGAGGGTTGAGTTCACTCTAGAACCTATCACCCGGACCGAACTGCATGTTTCACACCATTGATGAATAAGAAAACTGTATATTATAGCGCATATAATAAATCGGGATTGCACGAACGTTTATGACCTCTCAGAGGTGCAGCTTGAGACTTAGACATCAAAAATGTTCAAACTACAGAGACCTTCGATGGGGTCGTCAAATGCAGGTCGTGTTTTCTTTGTCGCAAATGGTTTCTCGCTGTGCTCGCTTCTCCGCGTGTTCGAACTTCCAACGTGTTGTCCGCGCAGCTTGGGGTCGAATGCTTGGCATGTCCACTGAGGTTGGTGGATATCAAAACATCAAAATAATGTACTATTTGCCCGCACAAATGAAGTTTCCCTCACAACCCCATCCTAGACAGCGCCAATCTTGAAATGCCTCGCAAGGCTGCCGCGAGGTTGAGAGAGTCTAGTGAGGCCTTACGAGACGAGTATGCGCACCTTGCATAATGACGAACAAATACATTCAAGCCTCGGAAGGCATCATGTGGCCGTGGGAGACTCTCCGGACCTTGCCGGCCCTTGCCAGATTTGGGCACTTTTGCTGATGGCTGAGTACCGACAAGTTCTGACCATGAGTTCATCTCGCCGTGGATCCGGCAAAGTTCGCGGACGTCCAATTGTAAGCTGCCGATTCTAAATTTGGTACGCTCGTAGGTCGGCGTGACCCTGGAACTTCGAAGGCTCTTGAAGGCTTCGACTCAAGTACCTACTACAAATTGATCGGTCAACCGGCACCGTCATGCGCACGTCTTTGACTTATGGGTACGTTACCTACGAACTCCAAAAGCGCTTTCAAAGATCAGTGATTTTCCTTACTTCGGACGACACGCAATTCAATGATTCATCCAGTCCTCGAATTTCCCTGATTGCTTGGAAGAAGCTGGCAGTTCATCACAGGAAACTCTGCAGCACAGAGTCTCATAGACTTCCGTTCTCTTATTCAAAGGATCTAAAATAGCTTGCCACTTCTCTTACAGCACAGGAAGTCTGGGCGTCAAACTCCAATTATAAAACGTCCAGGGATGTGTGGGCGATATCTCCACCTCATCTCGACACTACTAGTATGAGCAGATACGCAGGAATCGTGCATCGCTCCCCGGACCAACATCTTCTGCATCTACCGCTTCAAGAAGTCGATGTGAGAGTATGGATGGTTGACGGTGCGTATATAAGTGGCGGCACGGTCGAAATCACCACTAATCAATCTTTTCCTGTACTAGTTTCGGCGAGGGTGGTGCTCTCACAAGTATTCGAGAATGTATCAGAAAACCCTACCAGTCGGGCCAAATATGTATTCCCTCTTCCAGCGAGTTCTGCCGCTTGTGCTTTTGAACTCGAACATGCCGATGGTCGGGTTATAGTTGGTGTCGTGAAGGAGAAGTCAGAAGCTGCAGAAGCCTTCCAGAGTGCATTGGATGCCGGAAAGACTGCAGGGCTTGTAGAATGGGTGACAGACGACAGTACGAGAAGCACATTGCGACGACCTTAGCGAGCGCTGACCTTGACTTTTGATCCAGTATTCACGATCTCAATTGGTTCGATTCCCGCCCGGCAGAAGGTTACGGCAAGGTTGACAGTGAGTGCGCTTTCAGGTCATTACAAACATTTCGTCCAATGAGCGAACAGTTCGTAATGGATCTTTTGGATGAGGGAAGGCGAGACCATGTCCGTCTACAGCTTCCAATGGCTGTTGCTGAACGATACGGCGAACCACCAGCAGCCATGCTCGATGCGTCCGCAGCTGATGAAAGGACACGTGTTAAAATCGCCGTGGATGTTCAAACCAGTGATACTATACAGGATATACGCAGCCCTACTCATCCGACGATCACTCGCATGCGTTACAAGACCCGTACCGGAAGAAAGTCTGAACGACGGATGTCCGTAACATGGTCGTCTGCGACATTCCTATATGAAGACTTCGTGCTGACGGTGCATGCTCTTGGACTCGACAAGCCTCGGTGTTTTGCGGAAGTCGATCCCCAGCATGCGGATACAATTGCTATGCAGCTCTCATTTGTACCGAAGTTCAAGATGCCTCGCGTAGTTTCGCAAGAGTACATCTTCGTTGTTGATCGCAGCACGAGCATGAGGGGAGCCCCAATGGAGACCGCTAAGCACACGCTAGAAATGCTTATTCACCTATTGCCAGACTCACATACGACTTTCAATATCTTTACCTTCGCGGGCGAGGTTGATTGTATGTGGGAGACAAGTGTGCCTTTCAACGAAGTGACCATGCAGGATGCGGTAATCGTGTTTGTCACCGCCAAGAGTAACTAGCCATTAACTGACTTGTGCAGATCTCCAATATACATGTCATACAGGCCAACTATAGCGGAACAGAAATTGCGAAGGCCCTGGAGTTTGCTGTTGCGTCACGTGATCATGATCGCCCAACTGCGATGTTCGTCCTCACTGACGGGGACATACACGTGCGTCTCATAAATGGTGTAAATCTACTCGATCTGATGGTGAACTAGCCTTCCGCAGACCTCGACCCATTCACAGTCGTCTCTACGGCTGTGAATAGCTGCAGGCCCAACGGACCCTTGAGGGTATTCACCCTCGGGATTGGTGAATATGTGTCATCAGCCATGTGTGAGCGCCTTGCTCGTGAGGGTGGAGGTGAATGTCTGTTCGCCGTTCAAGCCGAGGACATCACAGAGAAGTGTGCCAGGCTTCTGAATGCCGGTCAGACACGCGTGATCGAGAGTGTCACAGTTGATTGGCACGGTTCGGGAACTCCGCCAGCTGTCAACTTCTCACCCTCGAGTCGCCATCACCCGCTTCCGGCTAGTGTTGTGCAGCTGGAGCCGCCTCCTCCGATGCAGCAGGTCCCGCATACAATCACAAAGATATTCCCTGGGATGCGCTTCAATGTCTTTGCGATCACCACTTTTAGATCGGTTCCTCGTGAGGTGAGGTTGCGTGCCAAGGTTGAAGGTTTGGCAGAGGTTCTCGAACTCGTGGTGCCTGTCACGACGGTGAAACCATTCAAGGACGAGTGGTCGTCCATACCACTCCTACATAATTTAGCAGCACGAGAACTGATGAAGCACTTGGCAGAGGGTAGGGCGCCACTTCCCAAACCTATGGCACCTGCTTCAGACGAGGAAGTTCGAAAAGCGGCGATCGTTCGTTTAGGACTTGAGTACCAACTTGTGAGCCAGCACACATCCTTTGTTGCTATAGCGTTCGGACGAGAGACAGAAAGGAGCCGGCTGCGCCGGTCAACGTCGTGGCAAAGGTCTCGGCGGCAGCATGGCAACACTAGTGTCACTGTAGACGCTGTTGATGGGGATGCTCCACGAACAGATGGATCCACCGTGCAGACCGTTTTGGACAGCTTGTCTCAGGCGGTTTCTGCGGTGTTCAGCTTCTTCTTTCCAGATACTCCCCCGACAACCCGAAGACGCCAGGGACCACTTCCTGGCACATATTATTCTGCTGCACCATCCCGCTCAGGCTCGACATTGAGTCAGAGTGAACGTTCATTCACACACGACAACTCGAGTACAGATACGTTCTCTACACTGAGTTCATTGGAAGGCTCTTCCACTAGTTCTCGATGGACCTACTCTCGGTCGTCCAGCCCCGTACTTCCCCCAGAAGATCCAATCGAACGCGTCCCATCGCCAGTCTTCGATTCTATCACACCAGGGGCACAACAATCGGGACATGCAGCACACCTTATATTTATCCCCACCCCTCCCCCAGCACCCGTACCTAAGGAAGCGTACGCTCTCATCTCGCTACAGAGCTACGACGGCTCGTTCACGCCGTCTCCTCAATTGGGGGCGCTTGTGGGCGTGGAAACGCTGGCCAAGGCGGCGGAACTGCAAGGTCGACGGGAATATATGGGCGACTGCGGTCGTTGTGGCGTACCTGAAGTATCATCTGGTTTCGCAACCGGATTTGTTGGATGCGCTGCTGAACAAAGCTCTGGAGTATGTTAAGGGAAGGGGTGCGGGTTTACTGGTTGGACGAGATTTTTTCGACTTTGTGGAGATTGCGGGGAAGTCTGTGGGTTCGCGCTGAGTTCATCAATGCGGTGTGATGATACGATTGTTTTGTTAAGTCTAGAAAGCTGGTGCCCGTTTTCTTGTGTTCAACGAGAACTTCATGATTTCGATGGGATCACACGATGTCACCTGGTTTCGCAAAAGTGCCTATGGTGGAGAAGTGCGGATATAGGTGTAGCATCTGGCGACTCCATTGCGAAAGAAGGTCGTCGAAAAACCTGAAAGGCCTGACTGCCCTGTCTGGACCTTGACCTCCCTTTCTGACATGTAATTTCTCCACGCATCCTCCAATCAATGGATGAGAGACCCCCGAGCTCGGCTTTCTGAGCGATTAGGTTAGGTTAGGTAATCATGCTTGGTGTGCGTTCTTGCAACACTCTTGCCGTGTCTAAGGCCTGCGTATATGAAGACGGAACTGTTGCTGCCACTGGGGCCAGAGGATCTCTTGGGGCATAGTTTTGGATGTCTGCCGAACCACCAGAGCAAGACTTTTTATCCGTCCAGATGGAGATCGTATTCGAGGAAGTTGCCTTACTCTAGCATAGCGTTGCTGAGATACTGGCCTAATGAAAGAATCCCTTGGCTCAATGCCATACCGGGACACAACTCACCCGGATCGCCGTCGGTCTAGGCCGAAATTGTATTGCGCAGGGTCATCATCCGTCAACGAGCCATTGACGTCGATGAACCTGGCATAAAACGAGATGCGTCGGGGTACCGCTTTCATCCCGCGAAATGCCACTAGACTCAGATCAATATCTCGAAAGCTAGGGATAATTTATCTGACCATGCATTATGCATCATGATCGTTGCTAATACACGATATTCAGCATGTAAATTATGATTTTACGATAAAGATAGCAGACCTTTTGGGGAAAAGTACCTGTTATGTATGTCTGCATTCGAGGCAGCCTGAGTGTGTGGCGGTCCTATAACATCATTTGCAGTAAAAACAAGACCACGTAGTAACGAATATCACCAAGAGGTGCAATGGGGTGCCATCGGAAGGTTTCCCGCATCATTTCTTCGACGTAGGGTAGCGACACTCTGTCCTCAAACGTAGGTAAGCGATGTCTTCCGATAACTGAGTTGAATCCCACTTGTGCACGTTTCTTAACATCTGGATATGATGACACCATGGCGAGAACAAAAACCATTGAGGTTAAAGAAGTCTGTAGAGACGTTAAGCAGCAGACAAGGAAGTTCAAACATCCACTTACCGTCTCATGTTCATAGTGTGTATATGTCAAGAGCAAAACATCACCGTAAGAAGGCCGCCTCACCCGCAACAGCAGCAGCTCTCTTCAAGGCAGTCTCAAACAATCCCTAATCTTTGCTTCTCTATCCGTTGCAAATGTTCTAGCACCATTGAAAATTGACCTGGGAGCGGGCTGCCGGCCTTGGAGAACATGTAGTTCCATGGTTAGAACAGGGCGCGGGGTAGACCGGCCAAAAAACAAAACAAGTCCTTATACTGCATGACCGGAAGGGGGCCATACTTATCAGTTGCCGGTACCCCGTTACCTTAATATTTTCAATGGATTATCGTGCAATTCAGTCACATCATGGTGAGGACGTGATGGAGTTGCCACAAGGACTCGAGTGCTCAAGCGCTCACGCATCATTTGGATATCCGAGTCTGCCGTTGGTCGAGTGGCGTTTACTGAAGGCCTCGTATAGTGGCATCCGTACAGCGGATGTTGATAGCGAGAGCGAGGAGACCATTCTGCATTCTTAGTTTGTTTCCGCCCCGCAACTTACGACCTTTAACTTTGCTTATGTAAGCACATGTCAGACTTTTATCAGACGCCCGACTTTGTCTGCTAAAATCAGCCATGATTAATTGAAATTTGAGGTGTTCTGGGTGCACGAGACCCTGCTTCTGGAAGCTGAAAATGTTCATGTGGCCTTCCTGTTATCTCCAGTGCAGTATTTATCTCTGTCGTCTCTCGTGTGACATGTTTGGAGCTTTTGTTGATACCCTACCATGGATTTCGACCTTGTCGTTCGCAATGGTACCGTCGTGACTGCTTCAGACATATGGGAGTCTTGTGATATTGGAATCAAAGTACGAATCACCCCTACTCTTGTGTACAAGTCTTGCCTACCTATGTTAGGATGGAATCATTGTCGCTGTCGGTCCTCGTCTTCCAGCCACAGCTGGCGCACAAGAGATCGACGCCGAAGGGGCTTTTATAACTCCAGGCGGAGTTGACTCTCATGTTCATCTGAGCCAGGTATTTCTCTTGATGCTCCGCTCCCACGTTCTTATTATATTGTGATTGCGTAGGTACACAACGCAAACATCGATGACGTAGATCGCTCTGCCATTACGGACGGGGTCATCCCAGATCGCGAAAACTATGTCGGTGACACGTACGACACCGGCACGCGCAGTGCGGTAGCTGGAGGAACAACGACAGTAGTTACGTTCGCTTCTCAAATGAAGACGGACGAGAGCATTATCCCTGTCATCGAGAACTACCACAAGCTCGCGAAGGATCAGTCCTACTGCGACTACGCTTTCCACGCCATCATCACGAATCCGACGTCCCAAATTGTCGAAGATGAATTTCCGCGGATGGTGGAGGAGTACGGAATTACGAGCGTGAAGCTGTATATGACATACAAGCCCATGAGGCTTCTGGATTACCAGATTCTTGACGTCATGTATTCCGCTCGGAAACTTGGTATCACTACGATGGTACATGCCGAGAATGCCGATATTATCGACTGGATGACACAGCATCTCGAGCAGAAGCTCATGACGCATCCTCATCACCATGGCACATCTCGACCTCCGATCGTAGAGGCTGAGGCGACGGCGAGTCCACTTTTACTTTATTCGACATACCATGCTTAGGCTGGTAACAGAACCGCGTGATCTGTCTGGCTGAGCTCATGGATACGCCGATCCTGTTGGTACACATATCCGGCGGGCCTGCCACGAAACACATCCGTGATGCACAAACGAGGCTCCTTCCTATCTACGGCGAAACGTGTCCCCAGTACATGTTCCTTCTCGCCGATTCCATGCGGAAAGGTGACTTCGAAGGTAATGACTCATCTGCCGCCCTCTTGTTCTTTTTCTTACGGGTCATATGCAGGTGCGAAGTGCGTGTGCTCACCTCCGATACGGGAGGACAAGTCCGATCAAGACGCTATATGGGCTGGGATCAAGAACGGAACCTTCAATGTCGTTTCTTCAGATCATGCTCCTTGCAAGTACAATCATCCTAACGGAAAGCAGCGCGGTCTCCAACACGGGAACCTTCCATACGGCAAATTCCGTTTCATCCCGAACGGCCTACCCGGTGTGGAGACCCGTGTTCCGCTTCTGTTCTCCGGCGGCGTCCTCTCTGGGCGCATCTCCCCACAGAAATTCGTCGAGGTAACCTCGACAAACCCGGCGAAGCTATACGGATTGAAGAAGAAGGGCAGCATCGCCCCTGGCTTCGATGCTGATCTAGTAATCTGGTACCCGCAAGCAAAGTTCCAGCCATTTAACCTCACGAACGATATGCTGCACCATGCCATCGACTATACGCCATTTGAGGGTATTGAGTTCAAAAATTGGCCAAGGTACACGATTATCAGGGGAAAGGTGGTGTTCAGCCATGGGGAGGTAGTTGGAGAGATGGGGTATGGTCAGTTTATCCGGAGGGAGAAGAGTCTACTTCCGGGGCCAAGAGATGTTTGGTTGACCGAATGGCGTCCCTAGTTCCCCTGACTTCGCAAAACAATCGTTCCTGCCATCCACGTCTAGCACCATCTTTTTTCAGTATTTGATGTAACACCTCTAAATTAATCTCGATGCACGATCGAGGTCGACCATCTGTCTCATAGTGCTGATCCAGTGGAGGGTTTACCGTCCACTGTAGTGGCGAGCGCAAAGTTCAGAGTCGGCCACTCCACTGCTATCACAGTGCAACGCATGCATCACTAGCTACTTGCGATTCACTGCTCTCTCCCGAATCCCCCTCCATTGATATAATGGGTGTCACGTTCGTGACTCAAAAGGTGATGAACCTCCCCACACCAGAAAGGAAAATCCGCACAGTTCATTTCCTTTCTTCGAAGAATGCCGCCTGTCCTCGATTTCAGCTGAGCCCATCGGAGACTCTCGAGCAAAACGAATTGAATGGGATCTTTGACCAGGTGGTGTAATTACACTGGCGCTTGCAGACAGAATTACGGCGACAGCCGAGGGCAGATAGGCGACCAAAAGGGTCGTTGGTAATACGATCCAAGATCAGAATTTAATGCAGTCGGACGTTCAGCAGCGTTGACGAGCTGTATGCATACCATGGGCCGGCCAGGGATCGCGATGCGCTGCTCAATTGGAAAGGATGGGCTACACAACTATCATATCTCAGCGCTCATCCACAAGATTCACAATTCCGTGAGGACTGCGCTTAAGAGGCATGACCACTGGCAACCGCCACTTCGGGGGGAACATGCCGGCTAGCGCTAACGACACTACGGAACATACTTATGTTCAACACCCTGGATGCGTACGGATGCGTGGAAATCGATGATGAAAGGACGGTTACCAATGATGATGTTTGCGGTTTCGGACCAATGCAATCATGCCGTTTTGGTGCAAGTGCGCAAGAAGTCACTGCCGCATTCGAACGGCTGTTGAGCGCTCAGCCATAGATCATGGTTTATTAGCGGTGTAAACCATCTGACTCACATAGAGATATAAGACACCTAGTATAAATCGCTAAGGAACCCCGAACTTCCCCCCTTAGGTAGTATTGAAGTCATTGATGATCTGGCTGCCCTGTCCTGCGAGCTGAAACCACCTTGATAGTTGTTGCAAGCGGTTGGAAGCGGCTGCTTGATCAATCATTCTTTCGAAATTAAAGATCAGCCGACAACTCCTCGAGCGTCGTCGCGAGATAAGTACCCTTGCTGCCCGGGGTACGGAGCGCTGTGCAACCTCAATCCGGATTTGAGGTCGAGGAACTGTGTCAAACATCAGCTTACTAAGCGAAATGGATCAGGCGCCTTGTGAGCGCTTGAGCGCCCCGGGCCATCACGAATGTCCGCCTTCCTACCTCGAACTCTGATCCTTTCTTTCCTTCAGGGTGTCATTTTCCGGATACAACAAGTGGTGATTCTTCATTTTACGTGGGTCGCGTATCTCACAAGTCGAAGTGTCTAGACTCCAAACAAAGACTCACGCTCAGCAGGAAATATGTTCTAAGCGCGCATGCATATTAAATCTACCAGACTACCACCCATCTCCTTTCTCAGTTGTCAGTCTAACGAGCGCGGTTTATAACTACTTGCGACAGCATACCTGTAAGTCAATCGTCAAACACTCTACAATCGATCGCTTACTCATTAAGCATCAAGTCCCGTCTATCCTGTCCACGAAGTATGCTGTTTTCTCTGGGCGGCATTCTCGCTCCACTTAAATCCAACAAATTTCACAATGACCTTGGTTTCTCCGCTTCCGGAAGTTGATGCATGATTGATGACAATTGCCTCAAAAGTTACAACAAGGGACCCAATGATCAACGGATAACGGCAGCGTTCAGTCGAAGTCGTCCCAGCTCAAGGGACGGTCTGCGTTGACACATTATGCCTTAAGCTATCTTGAATCTGGTGCATCGAAATCTCGATCAGCCCTTGTAGCAAGTATCTCTCGGATCAATGGCGTGATCCTAGCTGACAGATTTTTCACTTGTTTGCCTGCTCATAGACAGATATTCGTCGAATTAATAACGTCTTGCATTACTATGCTTGGCGCCAAGAATATTCGTTGTGAATCGACCCGTTATTGCTGGACCTGTGCCGAAGGGAGATTTCTCCTCGAGGGTCAAGCAAAAGTACTGAGTCATTCAACGGTGAGATGTCACACTCCACTACTAAGCATAAATTGCAAGAATGGTAAACAAGCGACTCAACATTCTCGTTAAGCGACGTTAAGACGTTAATCTACTCGCGAATCAGGTCTACTTCCGTTTGGCCAAGACTGAGAAGCAGTTTGAGAAGCTGGACTGTGAGTTGATGCATTCTTACCGCGTTTATCGCGTTTAAGCGTTGATTTCTTGGCAAAGACCTTGGCAGTTTTTGTCGAGGCCCTACCCCTATCATTTGGCATTCTTGTCCAACCCGTCAGCGCCGGCATCGGAATTGGGCCCTGATTCTTATGTCCATACAGAATGGACACGGTCCGTTGGTAATCAGACGGCTCCTGCACCTGGCAGGCGACAAGTTATCAACGCGATGAGTCGTGACAGTGGCTGATCTGATTGATATTCACAGTGTGCTCAAAGATACACCTAGGACATTGGTGGCGAGCACAAAAGGAAGAACGTCCTAAAGCAGAAGTCCCTCTCGAAAGACCATTGCCTTTAGTGAACTACACGACATCCGCAGATAAGTTGGATCCGAATAGCTATTGGTGAGTCCATGACCTATTGATCAGAACTGCATCAAATGGCCGAGTTGATTGTTTTTAGTCATACTGTAGCATTCATATCCTTGGCGTGGCTCATTGGGGCTTCGCACGATAACCATCCGGTTTCGAACACTTTTACTGAGCCTTCCAAGCACTCCGTTCCGATACGAGAGTACTTCTAGTGACTCAAGTACCAGAAGTGAAGTGACCGTTCGCGGCACACCGTACGAGTATCGTATGGAAAGTTACCGCTTGGCAAGATTCGCCATGTACTTCCTTTTCAGAGGCGTAAAGGTCGTGGTACAGCAGAAATCGAGGGTGCAAATACAAAGAGTTCGCGAAGCTGATTTTCGGCTCAGCAATATCCGATACTCAACGAGCAGTTGCTACCCACATATTTAAACGGTTGTATTTTACCGTTCGTTCCCCTCATACTTTTCCGTGTAGCACCACCATGGTCCAGAACGATCAAGTAAATGATATTTCCATCGCGCTCAAAGAACAAGATGTCGAACCTCCTTACTCCATATTCACGACTTCCGAAAAATGGATTATAGTATCTCTTGCATCCATAGCAGGTTTGTTCAGGTGCGCAGATGGTTGTTTTGATCTGGAAACTCCTGTGAACAAATTGGCAGTCCGTTGACGGCCTACATATACCTGCCTGCCATTCCAATGATCGCGACTGCGTTTAACAAGACTGTCGAACTTACCAACCTCACGGTGACGGTTTATCTGGTGTTTCAAGGCGTATGTCAGTGAAGTCTCACTGCATCTGTTTGTCATTTTCCGAACTCATCGTCATCACTCAAAGCACCCATGTTCTGGGGGACTCTCGCAGATCGTATGGGCAGGCGACCGACGTCGCTCGGATGTTTGTTTGTTCTCAGCCTTGCTTGCATCGGTCTGGCGTTCGTACCGACATCACAATTCTGGCTCTTGATGCTTCTCCGGTGTCTGCAAGCGGTGGGCAGCGCTAGCACTCTCACGATCGGTATGCTCCTGGACATCCATTATTTCTGTGCTTCATCTCATTCGCTACAAGGTGCTGGTATTATCGCAGACATCGCCACCCCTGCGGAACGAGGTGGTTTCTTTGGCATTTTCACCGTGGGTCCGCAGGTGAGCGCAAGATTACATGTGTTGATTTATAACTTAGCTTCGAAGGTTGGGCCCGCGTTGGGACCCGTTATAGGAGGCGCTCTTGCGGATACCCTCGGATGGAGGTGAATCCGTTGCCTTTCAAAGTACGGCGAAGTTATGCTCATGCAGTCCATTATTCAGATCCATTTTTTGGTTCCTCTGTATCGCTAGTTCAGCGTGTTTTATTGTCATGGTCACGTAAGTCGCAATATACGCAAAATCATCATTCTCTGACGTACTTTGGGTGTCAGGTTCCTCCCCGAGACTTTACGGAGCCTCGTCGGAGATGGCAGTGTCCTTCCGCCTATCCAATATCGTCCTCTGTTGCACTTAATGGGGCGTGGCCGTAAAGATTCTGAGGTCGAGTGTCTACCGGGTCGTAAATCTTCCAACCCTTTCCGTTTGTTCGCATGCGTCGATGTCTTGAACCTCCTTATTTTCAACGGCATTCAATACGCGGTGTTCTCCGCCATTCTGGCGACCATATCTTCGCTCTTCGAAAAGAAATACCCTCAGCTGACAGAGACGGACATTGGACTTTGCTATCTGGCTTCTGGAGGCGGGCTTGCGCTGGGCGCTATCTTCAGTGGCAAGCTCATGGATTGGGATTACAGGACGACGAAGAAACAGCTCACTCGCAATTTTACGCCAGAGAAGGGTATTCCAGGTGATGTCATAAGCGAGGAAGATTTTCCAATCGAATCTACGAGGCTGAAGAGATTGCCAATTTGGATAATCATGTTCTGCGCAGCTTGCGCTGGGTATGGTTGGTCTCTTCAGGCACGAACGTCCATTGCGGTACCTCTGATCCTCCAATTCATCAGTCAGTTTTTTCGTGATTGTTGCTCGTTGGCTAGGTACTCACTGATTCGCCACACAGTCGGATTTACGGAAATCGCTATGCTCACTACCATCCAAACGCTTTTAGTCGACCTTGTACCGTTGCAAGGCTCTTCAGTGACTGCGTGTGTGAGTGTATCTGTTTTCTCTTATTCACAGTGTTGTGACAACTGCAGAATAACCTCATTCGGTGTTCCATGGGAGCGTTGTTGGTTTCCGTGATCGACTTGATCCTTCACCAGATTGGCGCCGGGTGGACATTTGTTCTGCTAGCAGGGATTTGTTTTATCTCCGTGCCCCTGATTTGGTTGGCCGTGTATATTGGACCTCATTGCCGTGCTAGCAGACGCGTGCGTCAGACTGCATCCCAAAACTAACCCTCGAATTGACGATAATATGCCCCTCTGGGTACGGGAGATGTGTAATGTTATTTTTGACATGACCCTCGGGAGCCAGTTTGTAGTGTACAGAATTAGAATTACTACCTTCACAGTCTCTTGATGTCTGAGAACACCTCACATAGTCGCCAAGGTCTGTTATACATTCATGCAAAAGTTGCCCCTTTTGACTAAGCAAATGTAAGCTGATGCAGTAGTTGGTTCCGTGAAAGCGATTCGCGTGACAAGTATGGTCAACCTGGTCATGCCATTCATCAGAGATCCCGGCAATAGTACCTACGCTCACCTTTCCGCGCGCTGCTTCCGGAACTTTTGGACAACATCCCGTAAACTTTGTTGTAATTTCACCTTACCGCCTGGTACTAAGATCTGCCCCTACTCACAAATTTACTCTCATTTTTTCTCCCGATCTCTCAGGCCTTCTGTCAGCCTAGACCTGAGGCTCATTCATTTCTCAGGTTTCAAATTCGCCTCCTGCGATGTAACCGAGATAGCCTCGCGTTGCCACTAAAACTTGTGAGTTCTGTCTTGGAAAAATTCTCCAGTCACAATCATCCAGAACTTCTCATTCCCCCCACTCCCCTGCCCTATATTCTATAATCCATTCCCTAGGTCCTGAGGTAGCCACTCGCGATATAAGTAGCCGGGGCACGCCGCACCGTTCCTTTACACTATCAAGTTGGCGGCCGTCCGCGGTGGTGCGCATATCGGAAAACGAAGTCTGCATTGACACACGCGTGGCATTTGCGTGTGCCCACACAGACGGCGATCGAACCTTGGACAATTGCATGGATGGCCAGTTTTTCTTCGGAAATAATCGCGAACTTTGAGACGTTTCTGATGCTTTCGCCCAGTTCCTGGACGATATCCGTATCTCTTGCAGCTGTTAATGTGACGGACCTGCATCTAATTGCGACATGTGTCGGCACGTTGGGATGTGCAGTCCCGGTTATGCTATCCATCCAGGAGAGTTTGAAAGTATTAATCGATTCTCTGTTGATGTGCAATCCCAGCGTCTGGCTGCAGAGTTCCTTTCTAGGTTCCATTCAAGTTCTCGATTCAAACGAATATTAATACAGATCTTCCTGTCGCGACAGCGCACGCTGATGCTCGTTCTCTAGACAAAGCCCCTTGGTTCTGGGAGGGCGATCTCTTTGCCGCACCTTTCTACACCCAGTTCCTTGCGTTACAGATAAAGGCGATGGAAATGGAATTACTTAGTCCAGGTCAACGTACCGATGTACCAAGCTGATCTGTGAGTTCGGCATCCCTGTAACAGTCATTATAAGGCATCTTTTTAAGTTTCCATTCATGTTTCTGCTGGTGGAAGGTAGCACTTGACGAGTATAGAAAGTCCCCCGTAACGTTTACTGCTAAGGCGGGTTATCATGTAAGAGTGCGTGCAAGACACCGTGATAAGCTTAAATGATGTTAAGCGTGACATAGATGTCACATGTGGAGTTCCTCAGGGTGACAAGATTTTGGGCTCGCTTCTTGGCTCGTCGCTCATTAATCATTGTCCAGCGCGATCCGCAATCACTATTCAACCATGCAAGCGGGACAGACTCCAGTGTTTGTCATGAGTATGTACTGTCTACAATTTTTAAATACATCACTGAACGCGATGTTTCGCAGACACTGCGCCAGAGAGGCAGTCAGGAAGGAAAGCCCAGATCTCCAACATCACTGCCGCAAAGGCAAGTATAGTCATCAACATATGCTTCATTCTCGTCTCATTCATAGTTGCTTCTGAAATAGACTATCGCTGATGTCATCCGAACATGTCTTGGTCCGAAAGCAATGCTCAAGATGATTCTCGATCCAATGGGTGGCATATTGTGCGTCTCTTACACATTTCCTGTCATCCATGTGTCTGAGTAGTGTACAACATAGGCTAACAAACGATGGAAACGCGATTCTCCGTGAAATCGACGTTGCACATCCTGCAGCAAAGAACATGATCGAACTCAGTCGTACTCAAGATGAAGAATGCGGCGATGGTACAACGAGCGTTATCATCCTCGGTGTGTTCCTAAACCTCGAAATTATCTCATTATCTCATTGTCATATAGCGGGAGAAATCCTCGCCCAGTCCCTCTCTCAGCTCGAACGCGACATCCACCCTGTCGTTATCATTTCTGCCTACAACAAAGCCCTCAAAGAAGCTCTAGTGATCATAAATCGTATCTCCATCCCGATTGACACGTCGTCTGATGAAGAAATGCTCTCTCTTATTAAAACTTCCATCGGCACCAAATTTGTGGCACGCTGGAGCGATTTAATGTGTCATCTAGCTCTTCAAGCCGTGCGCACCGTTGCCTCCGATGAAGCCGGACACAAGAGTGTTGACATCAAACGTTACGCACGTGTCGAAAAGATTCCAGGTGGCTCCATTGAGGAGTCGAAAGTCCTCGATGGTGTCCTTCTCAACAAAGACATCACACACCCGAACATGCGCCGACGAATCAAGAACCCGCGTATTATCCTGCTCGACTGTCCCCTTGAGTACAAGAAGGGTGAGAGTCAGACCAATATGGAGTTCTCCAAGGAGAGCGACTGGCAACGCGCGCAGGAGATCGAGGAAGAGCAAGTCATCGCGCAGTGTAAACGTTTACTTGAATTCAAGCCCGATCTTATTATTACCGAGAAGGGCATATCCGGTAAGGATTGAAATTTAAATTGTTAAAGTTGCTAAAAAAAACTTCAGATACCGCACAGTATGTATTTGAGAGAGCGAATATCTCTGCCATTCGACGTGTCCGAAAATCAGACAACAACCGTATTGCCCTTGCTGTTGGTGCAACCATAGTCAACCGTGTGGAAGACCTCCGTGACTCTGATGTCGGCACGGGATGTGGGCTATTCAACGTCGAGAAGATGGGGGATGAGTTCGTTAATTCATTACTGCCTTGCCTCTCCATTTACGCGATCCACTCAGATACTTCACATTCCTTACCGAGTGCAAAAACCCCAAAGCGTGCACCATTCTCCTCCGTGGCCCCTCGAAGGACATCCTCAATGAAATCGATCGTAATCTTGCAGATGCTCTTAGCGTTGCGCGCAATGCATACTTTAACCCCCTTCTCGCGCCGGGAGGGGGTGCGACCGAGATGGCTATCAGTGTTGGGTTGCACGCTAAAGCACGCAGCGTGACTGGGGTTGAGGGATGGCCATTCAGAGCTGTTGCCGACGCTATGGAGGTGGTCCCACGGACTCTAGTACAAAATAGTGGCGGGAACGCCATCAGGGTACTAACAGAACTCAGGGTGGGTGATCATGTTTCTGAAGCCAAAAGAGTACTTAATCAATAACTTCCGACAGGCCAAGCACGCGAACGGAGAGCATTCATGGGGTGTGAATGGAGAGACTGGAAAGATAGTCGATATGAAGGAATACGGCTTGTACGAGAGTGCAAGCGTAAAGGTACGTCCATGTTCTTGCGTTCTGACGAGTCCCCTTACTATCCATCTGTTACACCTTCAGATCCAAATCCTGAAAACTGCTATTGAGGTATATCTATACGAGTTCATTACACCTGTATCGTCTGCTTACAATACACACAGGCCGCCCGTATGTTACTGCGTGTCGACGACGTCGTACAGGCTACACGAAAAGAGCGCGAGCAGCAAGGCCCGCCACCAGAGGAGATGCAGGGCGATTAAAATGGATGCATAGATGATACAGGAAGCCGCATTTTACACACACTGACTTCAAGTACTTTTCAGAATATACTAATTTGCACGCTTTTAGAGCGTACCGCCTGTCGTGCCGTTTGCCAGTGGGGCAGATCTTTTGATCAAGGCACGCTGCGCAGCACAGAGAGATCCGCCTTGAACACGCCATTTCTTTGTAGTGACGTTGCTCGCCTGAGTTATAGTCGATCGGTCGTGTCCGTGTCCTAAGGCGGAAGTGCCTCCCGAAAGACTATTGCCTTTGGCGAACTGCTTACACCTCGGTAAACAACGTCCGCAGAAAGATGGATCCGAATAGCAAGTGGTGAGTATAGACGAAAATGAAAACTGCATCAAACGGCCGAGTTGAACGTTTTTAGTTATACTTTGGCATTCATATCCTTGGCGTCGGGCTTCGCACGACTGGTCTCAAACACCTCGATTGCTGAGCCTTCCAGCACTCCGACAGCATCTAGTGAAGTAAGTGCCAGAAGCGAAGTGACCATTTGTGGCACACCGCACGAATATCCCATGGACAGTCATTAATTACTTGGGCATGCACTTCCTCAGTGTTGAGCTTACCAACCTCACGGTGACAGTGTACTTCATTGAAACCTTACTGCATCTGTTTGCCATCTTCCGGGCTCGTCATTATCACTCATAGTACCCATGTCCGGGGACTCTCGCAGATCACATAGGCAGGCGACGCGACCGACGTCGCTCGGACGTTTGTTTGTTCTCAGCCTTGCTTGCATCGGTTTGGCGTTCGTACCTCGGACATCACAGTTCTGGTTCTTGGTCCTTCTCTGATGTCTACAAACGGTAGGCAGCGCTAGCACACTCACGATCGATGTGTTAAGTACTGGATGTCCTTCGTTTCTGTGCTTTACATGAGATACAGGTACTGGTATTATCGCAGACATCGCTAACCCTGCCGAGGAGCGAGGTGGTGTCTTTGGCATTTTCCTAGTCTCCCTTAGGCAGACCAATAGAAGCAAGACAGTCGTTCCTTCCGCAAAGGCATTGTCCTTTTGGGTCCACAGGTGAGTGCAAGGTTATATTTGTTGAATAATAACTGAGCTTCGAAGGTTGGGCCCGCGTTAGGACCCGTTGTGAGAGGCGCTCTTGCGGAGACGCTCGGATGGAGGTGAATCCGCTGCCTTTCACCAGCGTCGTGCTATCTGAGAACCCCTCGCATAGTCGCCGAGGTGTGTTATACGTTCAACATGCATGGTCTGTTCATGCGAAAAAGCGATTCAAAGTCACCTCCTTCTACTCAATGTAAGGACGGAGCGGTTGGCACTGTGAAAGCAATTCGCGTGAAATTAAGGTAACGCAACCTAGTCACATCTGATGCATACTACCACTCATTGGAGATCCCACGCCGACGGTACTAGTACGTACACCCAGGTCCTGTAGCCACTCACGATGTAGCCAGGGCATATCTTTACTAATCTATCTTGGCGGCCATCCGCACTGCGCAGTGGTGCGCATATCGGAAACCGAAGTCTACATTGACACGTGCGCAGCATTTGCGCGTGTGGCCGAACCTTGGGCGAATTGTATGGACGAGTACCAGACCTTCTTCGGGAGTAGTCAGGAGTGGGCGGGAACTTCTAGATGGAATACAACCAATTACAACCAAACACATGCTGAAATCTATGCACCGCGACCTCCCCACAGAGGCATGTGACAATCGGGCAGCATACCGTGTTGGTCGAAATAGAATCCACCTCAGTAGTATCTTCACGGTTCGGAACTGACAATTTTCCATCTCCATTTGGTTATCATCATTTTCTGTCCCCGGGTTGGCTGAACCTTGGCTGGACCCTACAATTCAGCGGGCAGAAGTTTTGGCCAAAAACCTCACACACTCTTTGGTTACTATCACCCACTTTCTCGTTCGCTCGACCCTACCTCGGACCTCACTCATTCACTCTCGGCCACTGAGCCACGAACGTACTATAGAATCCCTCACAGCCTCAAAGTTCAGCTTCTATCTACCTTATGAAGCAGGTGTTCCATATTCCCAGGGAGGAGGTTGGTCCTGGCACACCTTGGGCACACCGACGGAATGTACGTACACTGAAGACACAGAGAAGATCAGCTTTACTGAACCTGGCAAAGAACAAGTTTTAACCTGGTAAGTCCGCCTTGTAAAATCAGCTATATCAGGGGGTATTAACACCGCATGGCGTTGTGCATTAATTTCCGAGTCCCACATATCCAGCCTAACCTTCCTCTCATGAACTCGTTTACGGACGAATGCTACAGGCTGTTTCTCTAGACATCCATTCCTGTTTTTTTTTTACCTTGCACGCGCTTCCCAAAATCCAGCATTTTTTTCAATTCCTGTTACCGTTGCGCGATCAAGTCGGTTCGAATCTGTTCGTCATCGGCCGACTAGTCCTGCACAAAGGCTCATCCAAGAAATTATCTAATTCCAGACGGTGATAGCACAAAGCACTTGCGGATGACTTCTTGTAGAAGGCTTGTCCTTTGTGAACACGACGGATTGTTTGTTAGGGGAGATAGATGGCTTCGGTACCGGAAGTACGCCTTGTTGCCGTCCAGCTGAGTGGAACACTGTAATGGAATACACAACAGTCGTCGTCGGTACAAGTCAGTGCAGCTTATCTATGGCTGATATTCTTGCGGTCTGCCGAGTCGCCTGACTATCTATCTGTCAGATCCACATCCTGAAAACTGTTGTTGAGGTATATTTATTCGAGAGAGAGAGAGAGAATTTCTATATTTATATACCGCAACAAACAAGGTAAACTGTTAAGACGCGGTGCCCTGTTAGGGCTGTACTGGGGGATGTTGTAACAGGGTAAGGGGTGTAAGTATAGTACGAATAGCCAAGCGGTCCGCGTTTGAGAAGTTTCGGTGCGCGTATAAGTTCGTCCGGTGTCCAGGCTGAGTATAATATGGTACAGTTTCTCTCCTTCCTCCTCCTTCTGTGCTCTTCTCGTCTCCTCCCTCCTTCGTCACCTCCTTTCCCGCCCTCACTCAGGCTTCTATCCCTCTCCTTTCTTCCCAGTCCCCTTCTCGTTCCAGTGCGGCCTTCTTGAATGCGCTGGATTCTTCGATAAATTTCGCTAATGCCTTTATGCCCTTTTCCGTACCCAAGATTTCGTTGAGTATGATGTTGTAGGATACCTCTCTTAAATGGATGCGCTGTCGCGTAAATTGCGGGCAGTCACGTAGGATGTGTTCTCGTGTTTGACGTGGTTCTCCAGGGTATATTTATTCGAGTTCATTACGCATGTCATGCATGTCATGTGCCATCTGCTTACAATACCCACAGGCCGCCCATATGTTACTGCGTGTCGATGACGTCGTAAAGGCTACACGAAAAGACCGCGAGCGGCAATGCCCGCCACCAAAAGAGATGCAATGGATGCATATAAATGATACGGGAAGCCGCATTTTACACGTACTGACTTCAATTACTTTTCAAAACATATTATAATAATTTGCACACCTTCCAAGCGTATTGCATGCCATACCGTTTGCCAGCAAGGCGGATATCTTGATCAAGACCACCCTGCGCAGCACGGAAAGATCCAGCTCTGACGCCGCACACGCCATACATAGTTTCAAGGTTCTTTGTATGTAGTTGTTCGCCTGAGAACCATCATGAGCAGACTATTTAGAGTTAGTTCGATCGGCAACTGAATATTTTATCCTCTCTATCTCCACACTCCGAACGCTAAATACAAAGGCTAGAGCCAGCGTCCAGATCAACTACTTCCTCCGATCTCGGAGCTATAGAGCGCTCTGTCATTATCCAAAGGCCAATCCAGAATCTGCAAGCCGTACTTCTCCTGGTGAAAGGTCATCCTCTCATTCCGTATCATTAGGACATCGCGAGTTCCCTTTCATCACCATCGAGCCCCTCTGTTCCTGAGAGAAACTCGCTTGGCAACCTTAAGATTCCAGCTAGAACGAGTCTAGCTCACATTGACCTGAAGCGCAACCTCGGAATGTTACTTGATGTCGACTGACAAAGCGACATCCTTCACGTCAATCACTCGTGCTGGATCGAATCAGGGGAAATGCGCTCTCTGTGACGAAGCCGACATGGTGGAACACATTATACTGGAATATGATAAGTTGGCAGCTATCGAAACTAACAAGCCAACTGTTGCACAATATTTATCAACTACTTTCATACCCGGTGATTCCACTCACATTCTGTTATATTTGCGCTGGACCTGGCTGGACAAACAAGGTTTCGCCGATCTATAACGATAGATCGGGCGTTGGAAACTCCTAGAATGGCAAGCGACTTTCTACTCATTCGCTGATCGCTGCGAGACTCAGACACATCTCTCAGCTTGCGATGTGTATGGGAAGGTCTGGCTTTGCCAGGATGGCGCTGAGTCTGGACAGGAAGCGGGGATCCCAAAACATGAGATTTGGGAAATGAAGAGATCAAGATCGGGATCAATAAGTAGTACAGGCCTTTGGAGCGCGTAATGATCAGAAATATTCCCAGACGGCGGGTCTCAAGGAGGGGACACAAATCCAAACCACAACCCAAACTAGGTAACGATAGAATGGGAGGTAAAATTGGAGAGCGATGTAGCGGGCCCAGCGCACAAAAGGGGATGAGCGTTCGAAGCGCAAACCTTTTAAGAGAGCGCACGAACTGCGCACGAGCGCTTACCTGTTTTACCTTCGCGATCCACTCCCGATGCGTAACGACAAATACCGTAATCACTGTAAAAGCCCTAGTTTGGACCCGTTGAAAAACTATCGTTGAACGATTACTGTCTGGTATAGTCTCGGACTTCTAGTCCTCTCCACCAATGAGAGCGCTCGCTTAAGCTAGGGAAAGCTTCAAATTGTCAATGTAAAGAGTGACTCTGTCAAGTCAGGGACTGACGCGCACTTCCCCCAGGGAACATTTAATCCCCGCACAATGAAACCAGTCATTCATCCGAGGAGACAGTACCGGAGAGTACCGGTGGCACCAGGCAGTTAGGGACGGGTGGAAAGGGCCTGATTTCCGTAGAACCCTTCTTCCCTTGATGCCGTCCCAGCCTCCAAAAGAAAACTCGTTGATGCGTTAACCTCGCAATCTGCTGATCAAACCTAAGTCATGCCTACCTCTTCTTTTCAACTGGCTCGTCATATTCTTGCACATGAGGCTGAGGATGCTCTTCAAGGTAGGACACATGCTAATAATTAGCGAGACTTCAACCAAGCTTCGGCGGTTATATGACCTTCGTCATTATATTGTTCACCCTCGGGTAGTCTCGACTTCATATACTTATACTATCCCATCCGGTGCAATTAGCACCCCAGCAAGTCGGTAGTTACGCTTTTTCGCAGGGTTTTGTGTGATGAAATGTGACTGGCGGTGACCAGTTGTAACGAAAGTACCGCCAAAATGTGTGACCTGCAGGTCATCGACTGCTACCCATCGCATCATGATGTGACATCTCTACCGAAAATACACGCCATTCTTCCTCGGTAGAACCAGTTGCATGGAGGTCAATTCCTGAGCCCCATCTTTCCGTGTTTATTTTCCATGTGCTCATGGCAACATATCAGCTGTCATGCTTTCCATTGTCCGAGTCGTCATCACTGCCTAGAAATTAAAACGGTGAGCTTTGTGAGTGACTGTGAAGGTGCCATCTAGACAACGCGGATTATCATGCTGACCTGCGTTATCGATAGTACATTCGAACTCCTTCGCCGAGCGCCTCTATTATAGTATATGTGTACCATATAATAAGTATGTCGACCAATAGACTTTTTGCTACTTATCTATATCTATATCGTACAATCGGATGAGTGCAGGGCTACCGATTAGAACAATAGCGGCAAGAAAGACAAGTCGTGGATTTCTACGTTTTGATGATCCTCTAAAAATGTCACAAGATCGTCCCAGTCCATGGTCATGATGTAATGTGGACTACCACGCAAACACACGAAAACGCGCATTAGCTGGCAAGAGATGGGCGCCAATGAGCCATATCTACAGGGAATGACGTCGTTAGGTCATAGACAGGTAATATGAATCGGAAATACGAACATTATACAGCCAGTAGTTTATGTGGTCGCCATTCTCGTCACGGACGAGAAAGCAGCGAAGTCCGACCGCAAAGCCCATAAAAGTGAAGAGAGCGCTGCAGAGAGGCCCAAGACTCCAGAAGGAGGCAAGTGCAAAAGAAATGGACGGAAGAACACAGAGGATATAAATGCGAGATCCTTCGGGCGCTACAATTGGCAGAGTTCGCCTTCCTAACATCCGGTCACCATTGACATCCGCGAAATCCTGCACATGAATTGTCGTGAGTATGACAAGTGCGCTGCACCAAAGTGCTGTTCTGCTCGTGCTGTCGAGCGAAGGTTCCTCTGCTAGATGATCAATCTGGTCAGCGAAGCATTACTCTCAGAAGCGGAACTGCCTACACAGAATCAACGTAGAACCGAGTTCAAAAGACACATAAGCTCCTACGTTTAACAAATTCTTGCCAATAGGATGGCCGCTGAGACCGAAATCGTCGTGTATGACCACAAGCACAGTGAAAACCGCACTAGTTATGACCACATTCAAGCCAAAAAGGGATGAAAACCCCAAGCAGAAAACCATCAGTCCCCAGCGCAAGGTACGAGAATCCTTGACGCTAATGCGCCCAGATGGCACAGGGCGCCATGGTTTATTGAGGAGATCTTCAGGCGCAGAGTATGATTGGTTAGAGACGTTGCCTTGGAAGAGATGTGACCAGAGCCAGCACAGAGAGTAAGATAGGGCTAGCGGATTATGACGAGGAGATACAACGTTTGTGAATATCATCTACCACGGAAGATTCAGCGCTGTGCACTAATATTTATCGTCAGAATGAATACCACTGGGAGGATTATTGTCTTGAAGTCGGATCTCGTGAAAAGCCAAGCAGTCTTGACGTGGTGCAGCCCACTGCGCAAAGTGGTCGCTGCGAGGCGTAACATTAGTCTTTCGGAATTTGTCTCGCAGCCCATTCCGTTTAATAGGAGGCACAATACCAAGGACTTACCGGTGGCACTAAACCTAAACCAAAGGTTATTACTCCGATGAACGGGAAAAAAAAAACACAAGGAAGGGTCATAACTCTGGGCAAAATATAGGATGTTGGAAAAGTCGATCATCTCCTACTTGTGCGCCACCCGGCAATACGCTTCATAGGACGGTAACACTACCCCAGGGTGGTCTGTCGAGAGCTGGCTTCCCAGAGCTTCCCATGTCGGCACCACCCAGATTTGGTTCCGATCTAGATGATCTCTCGCTGTATGATATTATCAATTCTTATATCGAGGTGTCACACCCGCCAGCACGCACGATGCTGTTGGACCAGTAACCACCCTTCTAATCTTCGGCCATTTTAATCCTCTAAATTTGCACTGGCGGATGTTGTTGTTGTCAATGATAGCGATCACGCCAAGTTTTTTTGTCAGTTTCACAGATGTACTCCTTGTACATAGCTCCTTGTATAGAAAACGAGAACGGATGCAGGACTGCGGTCATGTTGGTGGGCCCGTTGCAATACCGAATGAATCCAGGGGAGCGCAGCTCCTGTAAAAGTTACAAGATGGAAGGCAAGGCAGCCGAGAACCGCGGTGTTGATTTAAAGGGCGACACGATGTGAGACAACGGTTCAACGTGGACGGAAGATCGAAAGTATTCCCGCTACCTTGGTAGCGTTGGCGGGTTATCAGCGAGGTCACCAAGGGTCACCAGGTACCTCCAGGTACTCGTGGTGTATGGTTTAAATGCTATTTTTGATTTATAAGGAAGGCCAAGCGCTTACCTGCGCTTACATAAGTTAACCATTTCAAATTTCAAAGAGGTCACCCATTTTTTTTGTAGTAGAATAGTGAGCCTTCGCTCAACCCCGTTCTTGTCGCTCTCGCGAAGGCGGGTCCAGGTTGATTTGCCATATTTCTCTGTACAAATCGAGTTGTCCGTTGATAATACCATGGCTCAGGTGGGATGAACCTCATAGTTTGTCTCGAGACTGTCGGCACTGTCTCCTTCGAAAGTGCTGGATCTACTACTGCTCCTTGTCACGGGATGAATGTCGGCTGACGGAGGAACGAGGCCGAATATGCTCACCAGCCGTGTGTCAGTTATGATATATGATAGACGGTTCCCGATCCCTCAAGGCATTGGACGCGTTGACTTTCGTAAAACTAGTAAGTGTGCCGCATGTGCTCACATCACTAAGTGTAGCTACAGCGTCCAGCTGAGCAACGTAAGGCTACCAACCATAACCATTACACTCACTGCAGTCGACCGTCCCCGAAGGTAGTAGGGCCATATTAGCCGGTGAAGAAGGTTGCTAGGGGAGATGGATGGCAGCGGTTTCGAGCCGACCATCGATCAAGGGGACACCGCTACCCCGACCACTCGCCCTCCCAGTGCTGTGCAGGAATCATTAATACTACTAAACCCATATATACTACCCATATATTAGTGTTGAAGTAAATGATCTGCGTGTGACCAATCATTATTGCAATTTACAAATATAATGAAACTCACCTAAAAAGAAAAAAGTTTCAAACGAGTGTGGCTGAGTAGTACTCTAAGTAGTACCCGACGCGCGTTACACAACAACATTCAACTGAGTATATGCGCGACTATGAGTCAACTCGGGTCCGACGATGATACTCGCGACGACGCTAGAGTCCATGGCAATGGTTTCAATGAAAATGGTATGTTTTTATCGCAGTACTGAACAGTGAACACCAGGGACCTTATGTTGTCATTATAGAACCTTTGGAGAGCGCATATAACAATGGCAAGGGTATCGCAGTTTCCGTGACATTTACCCCACTTCTACCACCTCCAGCAACTGGAGAAAAACGCCGCAAGAATGCTAAATCACCACCCATAAACTGTGCCTTCTTCATCCACGAAGATTCAACCCTCCGCGACCTTCTCGATACAACATTTGAACACTATGACGTCTCCGAGAAAATGATGTACGGTATTGGGAATCGATCAGGTCTTCTCTCGGCTACCAACTTCACGATCACGTACACAATCCTTCGCACAAACTATAAGAATATTGTTCTCGCAAACCTCAGTGATTTCGACACAATCATGGAGGAAGTCAAAGAACACCGGTCACCAGCCTTCAAATTGACTATCATCGAGACCAAGGTATGTATTTTGGGTGTTTGTATGTGATTTGCAGTAAGCTAAATACATGGTAGTATGATGATGGCGAAGAAGCTGAAGAAGATGAAGAAGCTGAAGCTGAACCTGTGGGTAAGAGGGTGAGATATATGTGTTTCGATTGTCTTCTTGTCACTCATGTTGCGAAGGCTGCAACAGGTCCAACTGACGAGGAGATAGAGCAAAACGAGGCAATTGCAAATCTGACTCGTCAGTATACCTGCAAAGACCGAGCATGTGGTTTCCGTATCTGCTGGCCAGCTCCACCAGATGCCAAACACGTCAACCTGACACCATTACATCTCAACACGTGGGCTGCTGCGATGGTCTGCGTGATGTTCTGAAGTATGTAATCTGCATGTGTCACTAACAGGGTTATTACACAATAGGTTGGTCCGAACAAGCAGCCAGGTGTCGACTTAGACAATCCGCCAAACATGAAGATTTTTGATGTTACATACGCAGACCTGACTGATATTGCTACTCTCTCACGTCGACGTCTCAATACAGTTACCCAAACCCAATCCTCCGCACCAAGTATTGTCATCAACAATGACTTCAAGGATATTGTGGGCCTCCTGCATGGCGAACGTGGACCCGATCACGCTGCCAACATCCCACAGCCTGCTGCTCTTCGTCCGAAGTTGAGTTTGATTGATTTTTGTGAACACTTCAACCTATCGCTATGGCTACATGAGAAGTTGGACAACATTGATGTGACGGGCCCACACTGTCTTCGGTTCCTTCAGAATGCTGACTTGCTTGGTGCTGGACTGTCTCTTGGTGAGCTTGCAGATATTCGCGATGCCGAGGAACGGTGGATGCTTGATGCTTAGTTTGTATGGCTCTGAGCTTTCAAAGTGTATTTTTCGGCTGCAGTATTCACAGACACTTGTTCATAATATTATGCTACTGTATTGTAACAATGCTATGGTCAAGCAAGATAACCCGAGTGACGAAAGAAGCCCCAAGTCATCTTGGGTGTTATGACAGAACATGCAGTGTACAGCTCATAGTAAGGAGCCTTAGGCCCATAGAACCCTAACCCTTGGCGACGGAGATGTGACTTGATTGCGGAGAATGCTTGCTCAATAGGATTGAGATTCGGGGAATATGGTGGTAAGTATTCAATGCGGCACCCTGACAACATAGTGAGACAACTCCGTATCACAAGCTTTATTATACTGACCATAAGCATGAACAAGCTCTTCGATTTCCTCCGCATGGTGAATACAAGCATTGTCCATAACCAACACACTCCGTGGCCCTGGAAATGGAGTCATGATAGGAAGCTAATAATAACAGGTTACCAATACATCACAACGACACTGACAGTTTGAAAACGAACCACATCATTTTGCAAAAAATCGATGAAAGTCTTGCGATTGAATGATCCTTCGACAACTTTTGCAGCAATGATGCCCTCATCGAGAGCCAATCCTGCTACCATTGAAAACCGACGTTTCCAAACAAATGGTTGATACTGCTCAGCATGTGCACCTCGCGGAGCACGTCCCCAGTGATGCGAGTATGTACGGTCATCTTTTGAAACTTCATCCAAACAGAGTAATGAAGCTGGCGAGTATTGCAAGACACGACGAACGAAGTCTGCGCGACATAGAGAGTCACGTTCAGCTGCAATCTTCTCAATGTGCTTGAGATTGATGCCAGCACGCTCAAAAGATCGGTGAATGGTGGATAGTGATGTCTGTAGAAACCGGCCATCCTGAAGTCTCAGCTGGTATTCATTGAGGAATAGGGTGGGGTTATGGCGAGCAAGCCAAATGAGGAACTGGATATCATGCTGGGTGAAAGTACGAGGCCTGCCCCTGCCAATTGCCTGAATTTTGGCTACACTGCCAGTGGCTCGTTTACGACGTTGTGTGCGGTAGATGGTTGACTTTGAGATCTGTGTGATGGAGAGGATTTCTTTGGTTGCATATCCTTTGTTCGCCATTCGCAATGCAGCATCTTTGAGGTCGTCACTGATCCGTCTATTGCCCATCGTGGAGAAGAGTAATGTGTGACTCACGAGATGCTGGCTGAGGCTGTACGCTGCTGTATGCCACACGCAACAGGTGACCAATTCTGAAAATATATATTTTTACACATTCGAAGAGTGTCATTGTTTATGAAAATCGCAATAATCACCGGGGCCTTTCACAACTCGGCAGCGACGCCGCATCAGCACTCCTCAGCGCTCAACACTCAACACTCATGCACTCATTACCCACCGACAGAGTAGATTGCTGGTTTCTTGACCGAGTTGACGAACTTCGAAGTCACTCAAACGCGTCTAGCACGTGACAATTTACAAATTGGTCTTCTAGTAGAACTTACTTATCCTCCAACCCTTCATGTTCTCGCCGTCGCTGTGTCTAATACCTTGATATCTTTTCAGTCCTGTAGCTTCTAACTCCTCCTCTCTCCGTTTATTCAGTATGACAGACAAGATATATCTGAAGCCGGCGCTCGCAGTTCCGGAGAATGGGCCATCTAACGAGCTCCAGACTCCATCGTCAATGACTGCGGTAACAGATCAAGATAACCTAGAGGAAGGAGAGATTACAGAGGAAGACGTATCAAGCACTGCTTCAACTCCTCCCCGAATTGTGGGCCAACTGTTGAAGATATCAAGTGACACAAGTCTTCCCTCTACATCAGCCCAGAGCTCCCGTTTATCTTCTCCCTCAACCACTGCCTGCGGCTCGGCCGCGACATCAACAACACCACAATACTCGGATGTGCGATCTAGTATGTCACCAATTGTATTCCTCTGTAAATGTCGACTAATACTTTCTTCTTAGTGACTCGCGAAGACTTGGATCACACCAAGAACCTCGTACTTGATCTCCTAGGCTGGGGTGTTTCTCCTGAATATCTGGTCGAGGCTGGTGTATCAGCGGGTGTATTATACAGGGTGTTTACCGATCTCAACCTCCGTCTTCCTACAAATCTTGTTATTTCCCCCACTCGGCCCTCGCTACCTTCTGGCATACGATAATGACATCTGTATTCCCACTGTTCGGACATTCTGCGTTTTGTAATCGCTCTGTCGCCTCTGTTTTCGATACCTTTCTTGCAGCCCATCTAACCATTCCTTTTTTCGGGTTTTACGTGGGAAGTCTAGATCCCCCACTTCTTATTGTGAAGTTGGTTTCACTGTCGAAGCTCTGTGTCGTTCACCTTCCATCACCGAATGGTTTTGAGACCTTCGCAAATATTGGTCACACTAGTAAGTTGAAATATTGATATAATCCTCGCACGGCTACTTGCATCCATATGCATTCCGGTGCTTCATCTCACTACAAAGCAGGTAAGTACAAATTTCAGCTTGTCTTGGCTTGCTTGCACCATATGCATGAGGGCGATATTGGACCTCTGGCACAGCCTGGAATTTCTGTAATTCTCTGGTCAGTCTTGGATGGACATATGACATGCGAGACGACCTATAGGAAACGCCGGGGACATACATATGTATGGTGCGATAAACAAATTTCATAACTACATGCAAATTGGTGTCATATACTACCGTGGCTTTATTGTGCTGCACGCACTATCTAGGATTGGCTGACGAGTTTCTCGAGATCAATGAGTTCACCACCACTCTTCAAGGCAGCCTCGATAATCGCGACGTCCTTCAATGCACCGAGGAGGCTACCTAGACCATCATCTTTTCCTTCTAATGCTGCAAAGAAGCTCGCCTGCTCCAATTCCACGCCTCTGAGCGGCTCATCAATAACCTCCTCCTTCTCGGGGCCAAGCACACCGTTTGCATCGCGGGTGGCCGACTTAATAGTGATGCGAAAAACGGGCTGTTCGACGTTGTGTATGAGCTGCACCTGAACCCAGCCATCTGTGCCGGTAATGACAATACCGCCACCTACGTCGGAACGAGATGGGCTGGGTGCAGCGAAACTAAGCTCGAAAATGCCATGCGAGCCATCCGCGTTTTTTATGATCGTGTTAATGGTATCGTGGGGCGCAAGCCATTCCTTGTTGAGCGATGCAAACCCGGACAAGTGAGTCATCGCACTTGGGAGTATGACACGAAGCGCTGCGGCGGAGTGCTAGAAGCATGTCAGCAGTGGTTTCCGCAAGTATTTACTGCAGGGACTCACCACACCGGCATCAAGCTATACTCGGTCACGTGTTAGTCGTCGAGTGTGATGTAGTGAGCGCAACACGGATCTTACCAGGAAGCCTCCTTGATACTGATTCAATCCAATGGAACCGGAGACGGGCCAAATCTTGTCAGACCACACATCAGAGCGAGGAAATTAACTTACGTCCGGAATAGTCCTCCATGGGGTCTTGTACCATTTTGAATCCTTGTTCATAAAGTTGACGGTACGAGAGCTGAAGAATGTGACTTTTCCTATCTTGCCAGCGGCAATAGCACGGCCAGCTGCAATGTGCCCTGGCTCAACCTCCCAATTTTCGGCTACTCTCCACATGAGCCCCATGGGCTTATACTGCGCTTCATACTGAGCGATCAATTTTGCACCAGACGCCACGTCTGCTGCAATGGGCTTTTCACTCAGCACGTGTTTGCCTGCGGCGAGTGCTTTGAAGACGATGGACGGCTGTTGGGTGATTGGGAGGACGATGATAACGGAAGAAATGTCGGACCTGGCGAGAAGTGCATCAAGATTTAAAGATGGATTTCCGTCAAAGTAAACATCAGGGGTAGTGTTGAGGAGGGCTGTTGCTTCGGTGGCGATTTCACGAGCACTCTTCTCTGACCGCGAGTAAACGGCTTTGAGCTTTGGCGCGAGAGGGCCAAGCGTTTGTAGTGCAGGAAGGTGTGCTGTTGAAACATCATTAGAAGGTGAATTTTCGTATGAACGATAGGCAAGTTATCTTGCATACCTTCCTTAACAAAGATACCCGCGCCAAGAATAGCAGTTCCCATGTTTGAAGCTGACATAGTTTCTTACCACAGTCCACAAGTTTGACAGATGGCCCGCAAACGTGAACAGCAACGGTCAAGACGAAGAGACTATAACTTGAAGCGAGGGAGAATGTGTTTTATGGTTCGCCTTCTGCGCTTTATTGTTATCATGATAATCATCTTCGAAGCTTTACTGCGTGGCACGGAGAAATATCGGATAGCACATGATGCATGAAATTTGCAAAGACATGGCTCACATGTCACTCAACACCGTCCGGAATACGCTTTCGTGTCGAAGTCACTTATCTCCAGTAGGCGCTACATCCTTGTCAGGTGCATTCGACCCGGCCTATTGAATGCTCGTCTCTATGGTATCCATTCTGCGTCAATCTATTTCATTTGTAACTGCAGTCAAACGGCAAGGCAGCGAACCAGATTTACTTTCCAGTATCATCACCCGGACAATTGTCGGTGACTTTGCTCAGAATCGTCACAGGAACCTCCATGATAGCATTGTGCTCTGCTGGTTTAAGAGGCTTCAACATTCCGCAAATGTGTACCTCACCACTTGACTTCCCCATTACTTGAAACATGACCTCTGGAGAAGTCGCAAAGAAACTACCAAAGGACTTCGTGTGGGGGTTCGCTACTGGTAAGTTGGTCTATTTTTGATACTGCTCTGCGCTGATCACACGTGTTTTACATCTACAGCGAGTTTCCAGATCGAGGGATCTACCAATGTCGATGGACGCGGAAAGTCTATCTGGGACGACTTCTCGAAGCAGCCTGGGAAGACAATGGACGGTCGAGACGGAGACGTGGCCACCGATTCATACAGACTCTGGAAGGAGGACATCGCCCTGCTTTCCCAATACGGTGTCAAGTCTTACCGTTTTTCTTTATCCTGGTCTCGTATAATCCCTCTTGGTGGCCGCAACGACCCCGTGAACCCCAAGGGCATAGCGTTTTACTCCCGTTTCATTGACACGTTGCTGGAAAATGGCATCATTCCATTTGTTGTATGTGGAGCATGCACAACTACTTTGACGCGTTCTCACTACCTCCTCAGACCTTACACCACTGGGACCTTCCGCAGGCCCTGCATGACAGATACGGTGGGTGGTTGAACAAGGACGAGATTGTTCAGGACTATGTCCGCTATGCTAGGGTGAGAACATTCACACGTCTGTTTGAAATGAGTAAAAAATATGACTGCTTCGCCGCTAGATCTGCTTCGAAGCGTTCGGAGACAGAGTCAAGTACTGGTGCGTACTCCACGATGATCGGGTATTCGGATTATTTCATCAACAGCGCGCTTGTTTAGGCTGACAGTGAACGAACCATGGTGCATCTCAATTCTGGGATATGGAAGGGGCGTCTTCGCGCCAGGACGATCAAGTGATCGAGAGAGATCACCTACAGGCGACTCCTCCACTGAACCGTGGGTGTACGTCTGCTACCTGCGCCTGTCTGTATGCAATCGACTGGCTGATTCCAAACCACCCCACAGGGTTGGCCACAGCGTTATTTTATCGCACGCATACGCAGTTAGGCTCTATCGTGAGGAGTTCAAGGCCGCTCAGGGCGGTCAGATCGGAATCACGCTCAATGGTGACTGGGCCATGCCATATGATGACAGTCCACAGAGTAGGCGCGATTTTGGTTTGCTGACAGGTGCGAATACTGACAGTACGTCCTCTTTCAGATGTGGAAGCGGCCCAGCACGCCCTTGACGTAGCTATCGGTAAGTTCGGTCCTTTGTCTCGTAATATCTGGGCCGCACTGACGAATAGTCGGCAGGATGGTTCGCTGTAAGCTTCAAGTCGTATGCTCTGTCAAGTTGTTGATCAATCAATGTTATTTAATAGGACCCAATCTACCTCGGTTATTACCCGGACTACATGAAACAGATTCTTGGAGAGCGTCTGCCGGGGTTTACACCAGAAGAATTGGCGGTCGTCAAAGGATCCTCTGATTTCTATGGCATGAACACCTACACGACCAACTTGTGCAGTATGTTCATTTCATGCACTTCGAGACTCCGCGCTTGAACTGTCATTACAGGAGCTGGTGGCGACGACGAATTCAAAGGGTTCGTCGAGTACACTTTCGTCCGTCCCGACGGCACTCAGTTGGGTACCCAAGGTAGGCCCTGGTAAGCCCTCCATATTTCGAACTAGCATGCTCACGGAGATATTGCAGCGCACTGTTCATGGTTGCAGGATTGTAAGTTAAATGATAATGACTATGAGACATTGTGAATATTTTACTGACATAGTTATTGCGCCCCAGATCCCCAAGGTTTCCGCCATGTGAGTTTCTGTTGCATGACTTGTGGTTGGCGTGGACAAACCTGATTGACTGTGTTGTGTCAAACTAGCTTCTTAATTACCTTTGGAAGGTTTGTCCACTAGCTCATGCTGTGCATTCCAGCTGCTGACGAGCGTTTCACAGAGATATAAGCTACCTATCTAGCGAGTCATTTCTACAAAGCAGTTTGCGATGCGCTTACCTTAACTTCAGCGTCACTGAAAATGGATTCGCTGTCAAGGATGAACATTCGAAGCCGATAGAGGAGGCGTTGCAGGATAACGACCGTGTGAACTATTTCAAGGGTATCACCGCTGCTCTCAAGGCCGCTGTGCTGGAGGATGGTGTCGACGTCAGAGCCTATTTCCCGTGGAGTATGTATTATTATCAATCGCAATCAAATTTCTGATGTACTCCTTTCAAGGCTTTGTGGATAACTTCGAGTGGTGAGTCAGTAGGATTGATCATAATCCACTCACGCTGACGTCTGTCCAGGGCGGATGGATACATCACTCGATTTGGCGTAACATATGTCGATTATGAGACCCAACGGCGGTATCCCAAAGAGTCTGCAAAATTCCTCGTCAAGGTCAGTTGTCGTAAAGACTCGGAGCAAAGAGCGAAGACACTTACGCACTCTCTGTGCAGTGGTTTGGAGAGAACATCGAGGCGGGTGACACGAAATCGCAGCAAGAGAAGGCCCCCCAAAATGGGCCCTCTGTTGTTCTCGAACGCCCGAGCATCATTCAAGGGGTGGAAGTTTAATCGTTGCTCTTTGGAACCGATTGTGGACATAAGCCAAAGCGACCCCCTCCCCCCTACTGCTCCTGTTTTCATGTGCCTATTTGCCTGTTGTTTATTTACATATTTTGAATGCCATTGATGAATGTGTGTGTACACCGTGCCCGGGCAGGTTGCATTGCCGTTCCTCGTGTATTAGGTGAGGGGGGTGTTAGGGGTCCGCCGTGGCATATTGTAGGTCCTTGTGAGCAGGCGATACGTTGCAATGTTATGCACTTCCAAAATCGTGTGATCAGACTCAGAATCCTAGAAATTCCATCTGCGAGTCAACAAATACAGTATTCCTTGACTTTCATTTGATCACCTTTCCTTGGTTCATCTACCTTCGATTTATACGTCGCTCGCAATCGAAGCGACGCCATGACAAACTATGCTGCTACCCATCCATATGCCAGCACAACAGTGGATCCTACTGGTCACCACGAGCCAGACGCGGCCCAGACACAAGAGGCCGACGATGCGAGGAAGAGAAAGACTACGAAACGAAGAAAGGTCAACCACGCCTGCCTCTACTGTCGACGTAGTCATATGACTTGCGATGAAGGCAGACCCTGCCAGCGCTGGTGAGCCCACATGATACGTGCACGGCTGCATGTGCTGACGTCCGTAGTATCAAGCGCGAAATTGGACATCTCTGCCATGATGAGCAGCGACCAGCCAAGACTGGTGGGAAGCAGAGTTCTGATGCTGTTCCGACTGCTTCGTCAAACGGCGTTGATCCTTCAAGGTCGATAGCTCGTGCGTGTGTCATGATTTGATTTTCCAGTGTCATGCTGAGAGTCTTCTATGCAGAGCCGATATATAGTTCAACAATGCCTCCTCCAGCAACTACAGCATGGCCAATGAGTGTTCCTTCAGGCGCGTTCCTGTATCAGCCCGAAACTTTAGGCAACGAATTTGCAGTCCTCACGTATGTCATTTTATGTTCACTGCTAGGCTCCCCACTGAGTTAGTTGATCCAGTGACTTCTTGGAAACCTTAGACGAGGGGTCTTTCTTCACTACATCTCCAGCAGTAACCCCCTCCCTCATGACTACTCCCGCATTCTCTCAAGCCCCCAATGGCGGCGGTCCCTACCTCTCAAGTCCTGCCCCTGAAATGACATCCAATTCTCAGGCACATCCCCCTCAGGCACCCGCTGAAGAGCCTGCTCCCCCTCTTCTGCCGTCTGCCACCAAGACAGAGAAGTTTTTGTTGACTGCTGCAGATCAGGAGTCAGGTACACGTGATGAGCGACTGAACCGCGTTATTCGGAGCAAATACGAGGCGGGTCTGCTCAAACCGTATGATTATGTCAAGGGCTATGCACGATTATCAAGGTGGATGGACCGCAAGTGCGTCGACGTCTTCGTGTTGAGATCAGAATTTGACGTCTTTTCATCCCAAGTGTTTCTCGGCAATCGAAGCAGCAAATTCTGCAACCTTTGTCTGTTCTACGACCCAAGTTCCGAGTGAGCAAGGAGCTTTCATGATATTTGCCAAAGTCGCTGATCGAATTTAGGCCGTTGCGCAATCCCTACGCGATATCGTGAGTTCAACGTCCCTCCTGATGCATTTTTTTCGCGGTTGACCACGTTGCAAGGACCTCGTATTCATAGAAGAGGCCTTCGAGCGATTACTCCTTGACTACGATCGTGTTTTTTCAGCTATGGGTGTCCCAGCGTGTCTTTGGCGCCGAACGGGCGAGATCTATAAGGGGAACCGCGAGTTTTCAGAACTCGTAGGAGTCGACGGATACATGATGCGAGACGTAAGTTACCTCGATGCGACTATCAAGGCTCGCTGGAGCTTACACCTTATTTGTAGGGCCGCCTCTGTATCTACGAGCTTATGGCAGAAGAGTCGGCAGTCAATTACTGGGAGGTGAGCCTGATCTCTCGTAACCCACTCCAGCTTTTGACCACGTGTTAGAAATACGGCCATGTTGCCTTTGACTCTTCTCAGAAGGCCGTGCTCACTTCTTGCGTGCTACGTTTCAAACCCCTTATCAATATGCAGTCGCAAACGCCGAAAAAGGAGGATGTCCCCAATGAGGAGGGTTTCGTAAACTGCTGTTTCTCATTCACAATCAGGCGGGATAAGTGGGGTATCCCGAGTATGATCGTTGGAAACTTCATCAAGTGCTGACGGGGATGCTGGATGTTGTAGTTGTTGTATAGAGAAGTAACGAGCTTATCTTGTAAGTTATGGTAAATAACGAGTTTCAGTCATAGGGTTACTGGCGCGCTGACCAAAAATCATGACTCTCCGTCGGAAGGGTCAGGACATGACCATGTTGTGTATCGCAATATCTATCAGCGTCAAACGTCACCTTGAACTTTTCTTGAGAGGTGTGATTGCATGAGTGGTGTCAGCGGGTAGCAGCACCGGGCGGTAGCGGCAGCTAGTGCACGTCGTTCACGAGAGGCAGTTTAGGTCCCGGAAAGAAGCAAGGCACCATCTGATCGATGTAGATTCGGGGTATTGTTCGCCACGGTACAACCAACAACCTCTTTCGACTGGGTCGACGGCTTGCAACGGCGTTTGTAATTGCCGCACTGGCAGATTCCGACTTTTCATTGTACGGCACTTTCTGTTCCAGGTCGCTAGAAAGGAAGGTCTATGTAGTTTCTCATGCGCTTCATATCAGTTCTTATCTCGTACCGCTCCCCCTCAATGACCGGCGGGTGTTCATACTTGCCAAATCTTATCTCATATGAGTCGGTTCAGAATCGAATGAGGTTCCGAGTTGGCACAGCTTGATGGCAGCACATAAGTATTCGTATTTGGACTGTGGGGTGTCCTGGTAGAGACGTCTTTTACCCCGTCCATATACTTACTATCAAGCAAGCTTGCAGAAGCTTGTGCCCGCAATACGCTATGGGCCTCCTGTGTCTCGGAACCCCCTTAACATAGGATGAAACGAAGCACTATGCAGACCACGTTCGAGAACATGGCATCATCCAGTTTCCCCATACTTGGAATCGGGTCAAGGACAGGTGCAACAATGAATTACTGTGGGGAGACGAGGTAAGTGTTACTAGTGCCAGTTTTGCCTGTTTGACATGTAGAATGAAAGGTGGAATACATGGTCGTTATCTTTGACGATGAGGAGAAGAACGCAAAGCTTTCTCTCCGCCACACCAAGATCCTCACAAAGCTTAGCAACATCGACCTCATCGACGACTATACGCCTACTCTGTGAGTAAAAAATCTGGATCCTCAGGGGATGACGCCGTAATGAAGTTATCCTCAGCATGACTGCTCCGACTTTTCACCCAGAGTATGGAAGATACATGCTGGAGTCGACCCCTGGTTCTCCATACACGGGGTCCATCCAAGACTTACTATCTGTCGAGACAAACATGCGGTACAGGTAATGTCGCGCCTTAATGTGTATACAGCCCAGTATTGAACCTTGCCTTAAACAAGACGTGCACTCGCAGGAAAGAACCTGAAGGTCAATGAAATCCCATTCACTTTCACGTCTTCCCCTTGCCTGGGAGCGCCCGGCGTCTTCACAGCCTATTTTTGCCGGAGGAGATCGCGAGCCGTCACTCACGTTTCCCGTCAGTGCCTGGACCTTTTTTGCTGTGGCACAGAACTTATCCAAACTTACCTATAGTCTTAGATGATTTAGCTATACCCATATACCCTTAGGGTCCTATAAATCTCGAACCCAAACGAATTACAACTCGATTCAAATCTGAGCTTCGAGTTGAAACGAATTTAGTCATTTTCGAAGCGAGTCAAGTTCACATCGAGTTCAACTCGCCTCGACAGCAACACTACAAGAATCCTATATAATTCTAGGCACTTATGGTATAGAAAATTAACGAATGTGAATAAAGAATGCGACGAAATGAGAGTGGAGTCGAGTAGAAGAGAAGTTGCGAGTAGTACATGGTGGTACGAGTCAAGAAAGATGAAGTCACAAAAAGCTGTATCGCCCCGTAGTAGAAATACGGCGGCGCTTTGCAGCCGTCTCCCGACCATCTTCCTCAGTACGAAATATATACTTCAGCATATCCATGTCATGCTCCGCCATAATCTTCTCCCCATCCCGCGCACCATCAGGACGTCGAATATCCTGTCGATCAACATACATGGGATAACGGGCCTCTTGGATCGGTCCAGCCCAATCGAAATCGAGTAGCATGAAGTCTTCGTTGTCTCTCGCAAACAAATTCGTATCCCGAACATCGCCATGAACGTAGCCTTGTTTATGTAACTCCTCGATAAGAGACGTGATGGTCTCCTTCAGCGGCTGGCGGTCCAAAATCGCACTCAGCGGTCGATATAAGCCAGGCCGTTGCATGGAACGACCATCATCAATATCAAGTGCATCCATAATCACCATATTCCAGCCGCCGGCTAAAGGTTTGTAGGCGATAAGTTCCGGAGCGTGTCCCTTGCTGGCACAGAAGTTGTAGGCCTCACGGCAATAGTACCGGACGAACTTAATACATATCTTCTTCCTAGCCGCATCGCCGACCGTTTCCCCGAAGAAGATAAGTCGATCCCTGAACATCTGAGTCTCATCATACGAGAATTCCTGAATCTGACCGCTTGAACAGGTATAACTCCGAGGATAGGGACATCCTATATCTTCGGCTTCGAGGCGCGGAATTGGTTGAGAGTACAGCTTTGTGAGTTTCTCGGTGGCGATTTTCAGAGCTCCGAAAGTACGAGCCGCCATCACTTGCATAGGGATGTCTGTTTTATGACAAAACAGAGGAATGATAGGGCCCAGGACATCACATTGGACCTTTTCGGCGAAAACAGAGCCAGCAAAGCCAACGCAGGCGCCTAGTTGTGGTCAATAAAGCACTTTAGCAATGAATTGATGAAATGAACTAACCGAACACAATGACATAGATGCATGGAATGACAGACCGGAGCCTCCCCATCTCTTTTTCCATAAACTTGCGGTAGTACAACATTGCCTCCGCGAATGGTTTGGCACCGTCGCCTCCGATCTCATTCTTCCCCTCCAATATCACTTGCACAAATTTTTCGTCGCGGGACAAAAGATGTCCGTCTGTTATGCATTTTGTCGAGCGAACCATAGAGGCATCGAGTATAATATCGTATTCGCGGAGCAGTTGCCTGAATACTTTCATCCGCGTGAGTTCATCGGGATAGAAGGAGGGCATCTTTTCCAAAAGTTGCCAGACAAAGGCGTTATCGTTAACAGTTGGTTGATAATTTTGACAATCATCCACGAATTCGGCGAAGATAGGCTCGAGAAGAGTAACTGGAAGAGAGTCCGCAGCGCTGCGAGGACGACTGCAAAGGTACTCCTGCTCCTCCTGCGTTGCAGCGAATGCGACCGGTCTTGCACCAACTGACGGAGTATCTGCGCCCTTCTGGAGATAAGCCACTCGTCGATCAACAACTGGAATGTATGGCACCACAGGAACTGAGAACCAGACGAGATGCTGATCAGCGTTCAAGGAATGGGTGGCAAACTGACAAACAACTCACCGGTATGCGGCGGTTGGACAACGATATGCAGGTGTTCTTCGTCGGGTTGATGTTTAAAAACTTTGAGCAATTTAGTCACAGGTGATAAGAATTGCTCTGGTGTAAGATTGTCAAGACAGTCTTTGAGCGTCTCGTTGACAGGCAGGTTGACCTTCCATAGCGTGAGACTGTCGGCATCTACGTCGTGGAAGGCATGCTTCTTCGCGTCTTTGATAACCTTTTGGAGGGCGCTGACACTCTCTGTCGGTTCAATCTTGATCTCAAAAATACGGCTTTGGTCATCGCCCAAGACAATGCAGTTGAGGTGGAGCGGTCCAGAAGACCCTAATCAGACCGCCATCAGTATGGATGGAAAAGTGGCAAAATTGACAGACAACTCACCGGCAGGTGTAGGTGGCCCTTGAGCTTGGACAACGATATGCAGATGCTTATGCGGAGGAGCACTGTCAAAAACCTCTAGCATTTGATCTATAGGTGATAGCGACTCCATCTCGTTAAGTTCGAGTTTCTTAAGAGCGTCCTTGAGCGCGTCGAGAGGCAGGTTTTTCAAATCGATCTCGACCTTCCAAATGATCAGATCGTCAGCATTAGACCTCGGGTATCGATCACTCACCTTCCATAGCTTGAGACTGTGGGCATCTACGTCGCGGAATGCATGCTTCTTCGCGTCTTTGATAACCTTTCGGAGGGCGCTGACACTCTCTGTCGGTTCAATCTTGATCTCAAAATACGTCTTTGGTCATCGCCAAAGACAGTGCAGTTGAGTTTGTACATCTGACATTGAGAACAAGAGTAATAGTGTATCGAGCAGTGACCGCAGTGAGTGCTGCAGCGACAATGCGCTAACAAAGCCAAGCAGCCACACCACGTGACTGTGGCGCAGCCGTGACCAGGCAGCTGCGTTTGAGCTGCGTCATGGCAAGGTCTCAAATCTATCGCAGCTCCTGACCTTTGTCTTTTGTCATCCTACTCTACAGACCCATAGCTCGCTCCCGATCCACTTTTTTCGTCTCCTGGGTCAAAACTGCGCGAGCTATCTACTGAACCTTCACACGGAAATCGCATCCGCGCACCCAACCTGGTTATAGTTCTTACTGCCTCCAAATCGCTGGTGGCAACTCTCGATCGGGCAGAACGTGTAAAGACATCTCCGTCCCCTTGTTTTCTTCATCAAGTAGTATTTGTACCGTAGCGCTTGCATACATGTTTACCCCCATGCAATTTGTGGATTCATTGTCTGTTACCAGAGTCGCACCGGGGAAAACGGTGAGTCACAATTATTCCAAGGGTTTCTCAGAGGAACCTACAAGATTGTAACGAGTGTGCATGCCACCAAATTTCAGGCGCTGCTGGAGCCCGGAAATAGGCCATCATTTTGAACAAGATATCGGGACACGGCGACCGTTTCAACATCAGCTATCCTTTGTCATCGACGAGCTCCCATTAAAATACAAGGTCAGGGACTTGACGCACCAGAACGTGTCATCTATAATAAGGAGCGCAGGGTCGATGTTGTTGGTCATGCGGTTGTTTTCTCCACAGAGACCAGTCAGGTGGGAATTACAAATGATATTTGCATACGCACATCCCCTCGACTACTGTGTCAACTTAATGCCTTCCTTTGGTGCCTTCAGCTTCTCTGCGGTCGTACATCACGCCGTGCCTGACCTGAATGTGCATGCGATATTCTCAGGTGGCCAACAAAGACAGGCTTCGACCTTGTTATAGAGACCACTGCCTTCTGGGTCCGCTAGGACAACCGTATCTCGTCATCCATCTATTTGAGAAGCCACTCAGTACCTGCAATCATTCCAGCGGTCCCTGCAATTATATTATTGGAAAAGCAAGTCAGTGGGCACCTGCTCTAGAAACAAATACATCAACGTGACCATTGGTTTGGCGCCAGATTTCTGGGCTAGTCCCATCGTGATGCCGTTGCGTAATTTCGCTTGACAAAGAGATTGCTCACCACGTACTGCGATTGTCATGATAAAGGTGGTAAACAAAAAGTGAGTGGCCACGATATAAGCTCACACACCTGTTTTTTTTGTCGACGCTGCTCGCGGGACGAACGTGCTAGACATCAACTCCGAGGGCCTGCAATGCATTCATCTTCTCCTTTACCACGTCATCTGGCATGATAATCGCTAAGAGACGTGAGATGGGTCAGAAAGCTCGAGGAAATTGCATACTTGTATCATATCCCCTGCAACGTTATGCTATCAGGTGAGCACATTCTGGCACCAGAACTAGGGTCACTTGACTTGCTTTTGCTATCGCTGCTATTGAGATACCAGTAGATCCAACAGTGCCTTCAAAAATGCGGGATCCAATGTGAGGGTGCAGCAAACCTTGCCACTCTGCACCCTCGATTACTTGAACACGTCACGAAGCAATGAGATCCAGGTCAATTGCTTCGCAAATAACTTATTTGGCAGAGCAACTCGGTCCTTGACGCTCCCTCCAGGGTTCACAAACTACAGATGGCGCCATGTTGGAGACATTGAAGGGGAAGGCTGTCTCGAAACTCATCTCGGCTTTTCCTAGAATCCCAACTCCCAAATCATCACGAGTTAATCCTCACAAAAGGGGTATTTCCTGGATGCGACACGTTCAAACGGTCGAATCACACACCTATCACTCCAATAACTCCATACAGCACCTCATCACTTCTTAGCTCGATTGATCGAAACTCGAACTGCTCCTGCGAGAGGCTTTGACATCATCGAGAATGCCAATATGATGATATGGACGTCGACGTTACAGGCAAGGTAAACCCTTTAAAGATGATATGACGTACAGAGTTCGATAATAGCTTCCAGGACGCTATCTATATTGGCGACGACCTGCTCTCGTGAAGTCCAACATTAGGGTCTCGGGACTATGTTTCGAGGTGATTGTCTTACTGCTACAAACGACTGATGCATGATGACTGGGCATGAGTAGTAGGAAAGACCGAGGTAGGTGCGAGACGTACAGTGAAAGGGGTGTCAGTTCTAGGTGTGCTGGAAGATGAACAGGAAATGCTTTTGGCTTCCGCATCCTGATAATCGAGTCTCACAGTACCCGTGGTCTTGAAGTCAGTTTGCATCACCAGCAATAGACTTGTAGATTTCGGTACTGTTTAATTTTTTTGTAAGTCGTATATTGGAACACATCTATTGATTGACGAACTGTGTACCGCCAAGCAGGCGAAGGCGCCTTTCGATGGGGTATGTACATTTGAGAATTCGCGTAAGAGATGAGTGAGGATGAGCGATAGCTCTGGAGAATGGGAGGCCCCATTCGTCCAGAACTCTGTCGAGTCCACCTCACATGAGATTCGTAACGTCATCTGGAAATTGGCTTACTTGTGAGGATTCGCATCATGCAGTGCATTGCAGATCTCGATAATCCTCACCTGTATTGCATATGTGCCTGCAGCGGGAGACGGAGTCTCTGCTCTCACAGCGAAGCAGCCATAGTCTAGCCATTATCGTCTTCTGCAATTCGATATCAGCATAGATCTGTAAATAGCAAGGGCCTCGACATTACATACACATTGTTGACCTGTGCGTTATAACTGCGCACTGAAGACACCATCGATGCAAAGGGATAACTAAAGATAAAAGACGTGCCTGTAATACTCCTCTTTGAATTTGTCCCTGCCTGACTTCAGTACAATCCTTTGCCGCGTCTTCATGACTGTGGAGCTTAGAGTCGAATATAACGAGTGACGAATCGTGTTGAATCAAACCATGCAGGGCCAACGGTTGGTGTGGTTGAACTGCTACGAAAAAAGACTGTTAAACTTGACTTGGAATCAGAAAAACTGAATCGCGATCCTCAGTTTCAACTTGTCGCACTCGTCGGGTGTAGTCAACGAATTATGAGCTTGTGCTAGGCCGAATATAAGACTACCAGCGACGCACGAGATGTGAGACGTCAATGGATGGTATTGATGAGATAGCGAAAAATACTACAACAGGATCACAAAGAAAGGAAAAATACATGCTGAGATGAATGTTTTCTACGTGGCGCGATGACCGTCGTCGGGAGCAGGAGACACACAACAGAGAAACAACACCACACGAACCAACCATTTGGGGTTCTTGATGCGTCTGGCTTTGTCACTAGCTGTTTCCCACCGCGGAGCAACATATAATGCCTGCAGGGAAATCATCAGACACGAGCTGTTTGGAACACACCCAAAAAGACATACCCTCTTATCCCGTATTGGAGCAACTTCAACAACAGGAGGGCTGTGATCAGAGGAGATGCTTTGCCTTGGGCATTGTTGTAGTTCAGTCGCTTCATAAACATTGGGTTGGGAATGGTGGAAAAGGGAGGGAAGGTGACTGAGGAATGCACGTGGACCTGACCCCGAGGATGATGCAAGGTGGTGACGTGGATGAGGGTGGAGACCCATAGCAGAGCACTGAGAGCATACAGGTCAGAAAAATAATAAAACGAGATGGTGGTGACGCACCAGAGTATAGTTTGGGGCGCCATCGAAAAAGCCTGGTTGCAGTCGACGGGGAGTTGGACGCCGCGTAGCATCAGCCTAGTAGAATATCCACAATGTTACAATGTTTGCAAAGGTGATGAAAGGCATGACGTACATCTAACAAAAACTTCTGCGAGTGGGAGATTAGCATGCTCTATTGGTGAAGAGCCACGAGATGATGCATACCTTGTCTTTTGGTGCCTGATAGTGGACACTGTCAGAACTTTAAACAGAGTGCCAAATGTTGACACTCACATTGGGTATAGACAGGAGATCTTCGAGGCCAGCTTCGTGTAGGATGGCGTGAACATCCCATACGTACGCGTTTTTGTCGTCGCAAGTTGTGGCGAGCAGTTTTCCATCAGTGGAAAAGGCTGCACTTGCAGTTATGCCGAATTTGTTGTCGGCTTCGTGCTTGACCTTGAGGGGTGGACCAACTGGGAGATTCGTGTCGAGATTCCACAGACGCGCTGTTCCGTCGATTGATGCGCTCGCAAGAAGACGGTCATTCCGAAATAATGTGATGACCTGGACAACGTGAGTGTGACCTTCAAGAACGACGATCTGCTGCCATGTGGCAGTGTCAAGTATCTTAATCGAGTCATATGTCCCGAAGATAAGCTTCTTTTCATCCGATGTCCAGGCAAAGCTGTAAATTATTCGACGGTCTTCGATCGTGGAGAGCAACTTGCCCGTTTTCGCATCCCAGATTTTGATTCCATTCTTGTTGTATCCCCCTGTCGCAATCATTGTTGCAGTAGGCGAATAGCTCACCGCACTCACTGACTGGTGCCCCGTCTTGATTGGATTCAGACCCTGAACGGGTTCGCCGCTCTCACCATCCCACACTCTTGCCGTCCCATCGTTTGATCCGCTCACAAATCGCTCACCATCTGGACTCCAGCACACTGACTGCACGAAATCGGTGTGTGCTGTCCATTTGGCGATGATCTTCCGTGTCTCCACGTCCCACAACATCACTGTCCCATCCTCGCTTCCGCTTGCGACAGTCTTGCTGTTCGGAGACAATGATATGGTTCTTACTCCCACCGCAATCCCCTTGTCTCGCCAGTCCCCGCCGATCTGTGCACTGCTCTCCAGGTCCCATAATCGGAGCGAGCCGTCCACCGAACATGTGATGATGCACTGCCCGCCGGGCAGGTGCGCAACATTCTGTACCAAGTCGGTATGGCCATTGATGGTCCGTCGGGGCTTCATTACTGACGTAATTTCCCTCTTGGCATCATAGGACGCCATGGTCGGTCCACCAAGGACAATCGTCGACTATGGCTGCACGAGCAGTTCGCTGGAGTGGTCTTTGATTCTGGATCCCAGAGTCTGGTCAGTGTCCTTGTTTCTTACCTCATTCCTGGCAGAAGCGCTCAGAGCATCACTCACTGCAGGTACTACTCAGAAGACCTCGACGCAGACTCGCTCCACGGAAGAACAAGAGGGATGAACTTATAGCTGAGGAAGTGGATGTTTGGTTTGAAGTCGAGAGAGTTGTGCGAGGTCGTCTACTAAGGTGCGTTATTCTCATGTTCTCTTCCCAGCTTCAAGCACACATGCTGTGCAGGCGAAGCGCCCAGAACCGTGACTGGTGCCACGTGCATCTTCTTATTATTTATATATCTTGATAGTCATGACCTGCTGCACGATCCATCATTTTCTTGACGATTTCCTGCCAGCCTGTCTATTTCACATCGACCTCGCAGCCTCAGGACAGCGCGACATCTTGCCATGTCTGTATTCCTCCAAGGTCTAGTACAGGCAATGACGGTAAACGACAGTTCCAGCTATCAAGAGGAGCGAATGGGATACCAACCCTAGCCAGCAACCTCTGCTGGGGCCAAATAAGCTATGACGCTTGTCTAGCCACAATAATTCTTGTGTGCATCCGCAGTGCACTACAGACACCAAGGGGTTCTCATATCTCCCTATGGTGCAGTTCACTTATGCGCCGCTACTTTGGGGCAACCGCCAAATCGAGGGCCAAAATTTCCAACTCCAATCTCATTGCTAAAAATGGTAGGTGCGGCAGCGACCACAGCTTCGATGCTAGTGTACAAGGTGTCGGATTGCGAGTCGCAATAGACAAGTATACTATGTACAGGCAAAAGTTAATTATTTCAACCTCTATACAATGGCCCGCAAGTACCACAAATTATATAGGATTTTCGTATATAGGTTTGGGTACAGTTAGGGTTTTGTTGACCCCCAAGGGTCCCAAAACATAAATGACTCGGACATCAAATAGATTTTTGCAATGTATAATGAATAAAAATGCAATATATCACTGATAAAAAATCAGGATTACAGTGTAATAATTGTACTAATTATCATCAGTGGTATGAGTTGTACATCCTCCTATGTGAATCACAGATGCAACCGTTGTGACGGCGGAAAAATTAGGCTTACAGTGTAATAATTGTACTAATTATCATCAGTGGTATGAGTTGTACATCCTCCTATGTGAATCCCCGATGCAACCGTTGCGACGGCGGAAAAATGACGACCACAATATAGTAATTGTAACAATTGATCTTACTTGGAGAGCCGCGGATAGCCCCGTTCCATCGGCGGCCCAGGGGATATGAGATGTAGAGCCGCGGATAGCCCCGTTCCATCGGCGGCCCAGGGGATATGAGATGCAGAGCCGCGGATAGCCCCGTTCCATCGGCGGCCCATGGGGTATGAGATGCAGAGCCGCGGATAGCCCCGTTCATCGGCGGCCCATGATGTATGACTACAAGGAAATAATTGACATTATGAGTTGTACATCCTCCTATGTGAATCCCCGATGCAACCGTTGCGACGGCGGAAAAATGAGGACTACAATGTAATAATTGTAATAATCGATCTGACTTGTAGAGCCGCGGATAGCCCCGTTCCATCGGCGGCCTAGGGGATATGAGATGCAGAGCCGCGGATAGCCCCGTTCCATCGGCGGCCCATGTGGTATGACTACAACGAAATAATTGATCCGACTTGCAGGAGCCGCGGATAGCCCCGTTCCATCGGCGGCCCATGGGGTATGACTACAACGAAATAAAGTGATCATATGTGCAGAGCCGCGGATAGCCCCGTTCCATCGGCGGCCCGTGGGGTATGAGGCCAAAGAAATAAAGTGATCATATTTGCAGAGCCGCGGATAGCCCCGTTCCATCGGCGGCCCGTGGGGTATGAGGCCAAAGAAATAAAGTGATCATATTTGCAGAGCCGCGGATAGCCCCGTTCCATCGGCGGCCCATGGGGTATGAGGCCAAAGAAATAAAGTGATCATATTTGCAGAGCCGCGGATAGCCCCGTTCCATCGGCGGCCCGTGGGGTATGAGGCCAAAGAAATAAAGTGATCATATTTGCAGAGCCGCGGATAGCCCCGTTCCATCGGCGGCCCATGGGGTATGAGGCCAAAGAAATAAAGTGATCATATTTGCAGAGCCGCGGATAGCCCCGTTCCATCGGCGGCCCATGGGGTATGACTACAACGAAATAAAGTGATCATATTTGCAGAGCCGCGGATAGCCCCGTTCCATCGGCGGCCCATGGTGTATGACTACAATGAAATGATTGATCTGACTTGGAGAGCCGCGGATAGCCCCGTTCCATTGGCGGCCCATGATGTATGACTACAATAAAATAATCGATCTGACTTGTAGCCAATGCAACCGTTGCGACTGCGGAAAAATCAGGACCACAATGTAATAATTGTGACAATTGATCTGACTTGTAGAGCCGCGGATGCAACGAGTCCAACGGCGGCCCATAGTGTATGGCTACAATAAAATAATCGATCTGACTTGTAGCCAATGCAACCGTTGCGACGGCGGAAAAATCATGACCACCATGTCATAAGTGACATGACTTGTACAGCCGTGGATAGAACCATTGCATCAGTGGAATATCGTATATCAGACTAGCGACATAATTATATAACATAGATTCTGCATACATGCGCTCCCTGTAGTTAGTTGTGAGTATATCAGAGTAAAGGTATAAAAATGCAATATATAAGTGATGATATTCCTCCGATAGAACCGTTGCGACGGCGGAAAAATGAAGCCTACAATGGTATACAACAGTTATAATAATTGTACATCCACCATTGGAATACGAACGATCACGTGACAATGTCACGTGACCCTCGTGGACAAGAAGTGTTAAATATCGAGAAGGGAAGGCGAGGCCTGCAAGGGGCAAAGGGTTAATAAATATAAAGGGCATATAAGATAGATAGCGATAAAGTTTCATCGTTGTACACTCACCATCGCATTCGATACATCGTGTCCATCGAAATGGCTACGAAAAGACAGCAGAAAGGCAAAGGAAAGACCACAGGAACGACTGCAGTGAGTTTTAAATCTGAAAGAAATAGAAAGTAAAGGCTGACGGTTGAAATGCTAATGCCTCTAAGATCAGAGGAGGATCGGATCTGCACCTGGACACGAGACCGGTGGAAGCGTTAGCTCCCAAGCATGATATCGGGAAAAAGACGCAAAAGCTGGATTCGGAGGTTGCGCGATGCAGAGTAGGGGTCGCGTGGATCGATCTTCTTGAGATCGGAGAGCGACTGAGATTCGGGGTGTACAACGACCGAGCTGAAAACGAAGCTGAGACGAACAAATTGGTGGCATCATTCAAAGCATCAGGGATCGTACCCATGAAGGAAACGTCGGCGATACCACTGATCCTGGATGTGAAGCGGATAAAAAATGCTAAGAAGCTCGCTAACGATTTCAATGATCCGGAGGAGGTGCCGGAGCTGAAGCTGAATGACATCGAGAAGATAGTGGTTGCCTCTGGACAGCATCGGCTGTCAGCGCTTCGACGGTACCACCAATCTCAGCAAGACGAGTACCAGACGCTGGAGAAGAAACGCAACAAGATCATGACGCTGAAGCATCCGTCTGAAGAACATGTGCTAAATTTCAATGAGATGCGTACCGAGATGTGTGGGATCCAGGGAGTGATGGAAGGGATGGGCAAGTGGGGCGTGATTGTGTACGACCAAGGTGAGCGTGTTCCGCGGCTGCCACCGTTGCCAACGCGGCCGTCGAAGCGATGGGGCCTGTACCATCGCATTGGTTTAGTACAAGAGATGGACATTGATAATCTGCACGAGGAACGTATGGTAGCACTTGCAACCGTTGCATCCGTGCGTCATGTAGATGGTGAAGGCTCAAATCGTCCGCAGATGCAACGGTTGCGAAAGTGTCGGGCATAAGATAAGATGCGAGCATACTGATGACATTCACTCACAGAACGATTGCTGGCCAGCGGCGACGAGCTGGCCTGTCACCTGAGCCGCAATAATCCCTTGCACGAATACAAAGAAACGGAAGAGGAAGTGCTGATCACCATTCTGAAGAAACTCAAGAGCGCATACGACACGTCGCCCAAAGACACGCGCGACGACGTTGCGACGAAGACGCTCGACGAAATTCGTACCGTCCAAGACAAGAACTCGCGTGTGCAGAAGGTTCTTCATCATGATGGACTGTGCATGTTCCTCTCCACGCGTCTCCTTCAGTTAGGACTGCACTTCAGACGTCGCTCTGAATTTAGCGTGACGTGGCTCTCGAAGGCGATTGACGTGTGCATGGGAGTGAGTGCGAGTCCTTCGATGATCGAGAGAATTGATACCTGATGTGGACTGGAATCAGGTATATTTGTGTTGGATTGAGATACGCACCGCGACGTTGAAGAAACTCGGGTCGCACAAGGACTTTCCGTCCTATAAGACCGTCGCAGACCTGCTGGACGATGCAGAAGCAGGAGACCAACAGGCGATTGCGGAGGTGGAGAAGCTGCGCAAGAGTATCAACGAAACGCAACAAGATGGCGAGGAGGGGGATTTATCGATGTGGGCCGAGGTGATGCAAAGCCTCGACAATCATGCGAAGACAGCGTTCGCGCAGAACATCGAGAGCATTGGGCAGATGACGCCGAAGTACGTGCTGCGGTTGAGCGCGTATCGGCAGAATGCGATCATGACGCTGCAAGACGCGTGGTCGGTGAGCCCTGGCAAGGATTACGGGGAGAATGAAATATTGCAGCACCTCGATCGAGTGGTCGCTCGTGTAGCGATTCACCTAACGCCGAAGGAAGGCGACCGACAAGCTCCTGAGCCGCTGCTTGGTGGCATGATGATGGACTATGCGTGGACGACGTTCAGTCGGCTGCAGGAAGGGATAGCAGAGGTGAACTCACCGACGATGCTGATCGTTCTTGAAGAGGGAGTACTGACCTGCGAATGAATCGTAAGATGTGTCGATGGTTTGAAGTCCTGCTGGATTCGTGGAGGATAGTGCATCCGAAATCGCACACGATGGACGACTGGTCGACGGTCATGCTCGCGAACATCGCGAGGGATCCTCGATTCACCAGCCACAGCAATAAAAACAGCAGAGCGGTGAGTCATGAAGTGTCGATTGATCCATGCGCACAGAGACATTGACGTGGACGCACCTGCAGGTGACGCAAATCATCTGGAAGCACCGCAACACGTTGATGATGCGGTTGACGAACTACATGACGAACGAAAAGATGTCGCACGCCCCACGACCGAAGGACAAGAAAGAGTTGGACAGTCGATTCGCCGAGCTGTCAGCAGAAGAGATCGAGGCCAGCGATTCACTCACCAAGGTGTTGCAGTCGAGGAGGTCTAAGACTAGCGCGAGGAGCAGAGACTTAGCGATGGAACCGCAGTCCATCACCGGGATGATGGCGCTGCATACGACGGGCTGGGACTGGCAAAGCTCGTCCATCAAGAATACAGGGCGAGACATCGAGCCTTGCATGAAGGCGATCGCTGTGGAATGCAAGTATATGGAGACATATCGCCCTAAGCTGTTGAAGGATAAGTTGGTCGGAGCCATTCGCAGGCTGTTAGAGGTCGAGCTCGGGTCTCGCGTCCGGAAGATGCAAATTATGGATGAAGCTGGGAAGTTGCGCCCTGTGCAGGAATGGGTGTGGTGGGACGGACTCACTCTGCGATCGACGCAATTAGATGCCGAAGTCGTGCTGCAGTCGCTCCAGGACAACGTCGTCCGCAAGCAGCAACAGACGCAAGCACGTCTTGTCCTCGAACAGAAAGATCGCGAGGCCATCAACAAAGCCATCACTTACCTCACGAATCTTCCATGCGTTCGCGCATCCGACGATTCCAACTCGCTGGTCTCCCATGATGTCATGGGCCCATTGAAAGAAATGATCAGAGTGAGTGTTTATCCGCCGTAGCAACGGTTCTATCGGCGCCTGCATACTGAGGACGTATGGTCTTGTTTTCCGCGCTGGCCACCGTTCCATCCGCGCCTATGAAATGTATCTGACAGTGTTTATAGGGCATCGAAGTCAATAGTGCGAGGAAGCGATTCCGTACGCTCAACGGAGATTCCAACCTCACTTTCGATCTCCGGGAGCATGACTTCGAGCTGGGAATCGAGCTGCCAGACTCGTATCAGGACCCGTTCACGATCGTGAGCGCCATAATCTCGATGTCCTTTAGTTCGCTTATTGATATCGACAACAATAGGGTTACAATATGTCAGATGATGAGGACAATGAGGAGGACAATGAGGACGAACCCGACACGCAGCCAGCGTCGAAGTCGAAAGGTAAACAGCGTGCCATCGACGCACCCCCTCAACCTGTCGCAGACAAACAATCTGAAGTTACGTCGGGAGCCTCGACTTCGTCCCGAGCACCAAAGATCTCCCAGTCCGCTGTTGACAGCCAGCCACAGCCGGAATCCGAAGAAGAGATGCCGCATCCATCTACACGCTCGCCGCAAGCCCCGCCCCTTGACGTCTCCGAGGCTGCCACTAACAGACCTAACCCTGTCAAACCCATTCCCAAACCAAGACCCATTCCACGCAAACAATCTCAGCGGACCGCTGTCGAAGATGACAACGTCTCACCTCATCCAGACTCCATGGCTGCAGGACACGATGCTGGTGCGGATATGGATGAGGATGAAGGTGCGTGCAACACATACGCTGATATTCATGGTCGTCGTGGTCTGGTATTCTGACGCTCTGAATATTTAAGAAGCGACCCCACGTCTCACCAAGCGTCCTCTCGCTGACGTTTCTATGCACGACCACGACGCATCTTCTCAACATGCCACTGATGACACAGCTCCATTGGCTGGTGATGCACCAGGTGTGTGTTGTTTGTTCGAGTGCTGTGCATCCTGATAAATATGATGTTGTTTTAATAAGATCCTTCTCAATACGGCGCCGTCGCAACCGTTCCATCTGCTACACCTGCTACAGCTCAGCGTGAGTTAGTTTGCTCTCGTATGTCTCACCAATCTCCTCATATTTGCAGCCGAGCTCTTCGAACCAGATGAAGACACTCAGGGCAAGCCCGTCGATGAGGACACAGAGCTCGACAGTGAGGCTCACACCACAGATGTCGACCGTCCTTCTGATGACTGTGAGTCCGCGGATACAACCGTTGCATGTGCGGACGATGACATCTTGCATCTCGTTTAGCATACGAACTTTCACAGCCCTTATCACAGCCCTTGCCTCCTCGCAAGTCCAGTAGGTGTTCCTTGCATTAGGTGTCCGTCTTCTCTATGCTTAACCTAACCCGTTAAGAACGACGCGTCGTCCCTGCCTCGCCCAAACGGTCCCATGCTGCAACTGGTGCGTTGGCGTCTGGTGCGTCGATGAACGATTGATTGACACAACAATATCATCCCTTAGGTGCATCATCCTCATCCTCATCTTTGATCCGTGGACGAGGCAGACCGCAGAAGAAGAAGCCAAAAATCATCCAGGGCCCTTCAGACGATGAGGACGATCAGACCATAATTCCCATTTAACTCTTGTTCCTGCGATGCTTCCATGCCATTCTCTTTTGCTGCATGTATTCGTAAAGTGTGATCTATGGACTTGCTGCGATCGTTCTGCGCCGTCATCATCTCTCTGCTGGTATCCTTCTTGTGATCCCATTAGATTCGCCATGTCCTGTGATCCGTCTTTGTATCGCGTGCGACGTCCTATTGCAATCGTCGTGTCCTGCGATCCGTTATCTACCATGTACTACTTGTATGAAATGCTCTTTCTTAAAATATAGAATGTCTAGTTCGTTCTCCTCTGCATCGTCATTTCTGGGATGCGAAACTGAACTCTGTCGTATGTGCTAACGCGCTGCTATCGAAAGTGCGAACTTGAACGAGATCTCGCTGCGTTCGCTCGCTCGTTCTGCCGTTGAGTCCATTATCATGGTTCTGCACCTTGCACATCCTCTCGCCTTTCAACCATAAACGCATCTGTTCATGCTCTGTTGCTTTCTTTTTTGACGCTCGATGACGACTGAGACGTCCAAACTCTCCTGTCCGAGTCGAATCATTCCGTCCCATTCTGCCACTGCCATTGATGCATCCACCGACCTTCATCTTTTTTGACCATGGTTCGATCCTCGCACATTCTCTTGCTATCTATCTTCTTGTTCTTACGCATCTCTGTCTCCCATTGATCCGCTTCTGCACGCAACATTGCTTATGGTGCGTCATTTGTCCAGCTGTCTATTTTTGGTCAAACTCAAAACTTAATGCTTCAGCCAGCCCTCGTTTGAACGCCCATGGCCTTGTGTTCACGTCGTCTCGTCTTTTCTTTCTTTATTCGTCATCTCGCTCGTTCGCATGTTGATGTGTGGCCTTATGCGATCGATTTCCGTTTCTTTCCTGCAGAAACCTTCGCCCATCATCATCCTGAACTGTCCCAGTCTCTCTCTCGCTCTTTCTTGTCTGTTCGATCGCCTGTCGGGTCATGCCAGTGAGTAGCTTTCTCTTGCCTTAGCTTTCTATTTCGCTCACGACCTCTGCGATCCATGGTCTCCATTTCCTTCGCTCACCGATCATATCATGATGCGCTCCTGTCCATGTTCGATCGTCTTCCTAGTCCATTTTCATCTCGTCTGCCGGTCTCTATGCTGCCGGTGCCCCATTGCACTAGCCTTTTAAAACCAAATGCAGAGCTAATACGTCCCTCAGCGCTAAACTCGGACCCTGGTCGCTCGATCGGCGTTCCATTCACGGGATTCTGTCGGTTCCGCTGGTAATTCATTCATATTTTCATATTTTCATATTTTCAACCCTTACTTGGCTCCCTCAACAGACCGTCTTCCAGCGGTGCCATGCACATGTCATTCTTAGCGTACAGAGTCGTTGGTCGCCCCAAATGCCTCAAGAAATGATTCGATGGCGAGTGCCTGGAGTCTTTCATTCGTTCAATCGTTCGTTGGTTCATTCTTTTCTTTTCCTTTTTCTTTTCCTTTTGTTTTTATGGTTCTTTGTTCAGGTCTATCGATGGTATCCGCTTGCTGACGGAAATTTACGGTGTGTTTGCTTTGCCGGTCAATTTCATCGGTATTAAAATTTTCTTTGGGGCGATCATTGCCCCCTTGCATCAACATTACAGACTAAAACTGTTTAAGGCGTCGTATTATTTTCTCCTGCAGACCTGCTCCTTCTGACTCGCCCATTTCTACCGCACCTTTACATCCAATCGCTGCTCAGCTCCCCCATCTCATCCTCGAGTTCGATCGTACCATGTCAGACCTAGAAGATCATGCGTGAGTGTTGAATCGCGTCGATGACCTAACCTAACCTCACTGACGTGGTCCCTTCAAGGTTCGACAGCGACGATGATCTGGCGACCATCACTTTTCCTGGTGCTGCACGCGCAGGCGATCAGGACGAGCCTCGCCCCTTTGATCTTGCGGACGTGCCTTCGTCTGTGGAAGCGGAGGATGCTTTGGCTCAAAGCGAGATCTTCGAGAGTCTGTTCTTGCAACAGGACGGAGCTCGACCTGCGGGTCGTACGTGGGAGCAGACGAAAGTTCAGACGGTGAGCTTGTCCGCGCTTGCACGGACGTTCAAAAAGGACGACAAAGCGACCGCGATCAACTTGTTGCATCGACGTTCTGTGCTTCGCCTGGACGACGATTTGTACTACGACAACGACGACGAAATGCTGGCTTGGGATGGCTCCCAGCATTTTCTTGATTTTTTTCTTGTCGTCGGAGGGTCGGTGGGTTTGCATGCGTTGCTGCCGAACAAGGTCGTGGACCACACGTTTTCCATCGCCCTCAACCTCTGTCTTCCCACCCGACTGTTTCGACCGAAATTCGGGAAGCTTGGATTCGATCCCACGGGATGCATGATGGCCCTGGGAACAGGGGCAACGTGTGAATTATGGCTGGCATTTTGCCCGCGCGAGAACTTGGAGGACTTGGAAGTCGCGAACGATGTGCCTCTGCTGAGCGAGAGAAAACACGGGGACACCAGACTGTCTTCGTCTCACTTTCGCATGGTCGCGATGTTCCTGGCCCATGCGCTGTCCAAAAACCCGTCGCTTCCTATCTACGTGATGCACGCCTATGGCACGGACGACGATCTCAGCGCGTGGAGGATCAAGGACGTATCCAACATATAGTGAGTTGTTCATTGCCCGATGGTTCATGTCCCTTCGACGGCATGCGTGTTGGCGAGGCTCCGTTATCGACATCCAGATCCGTGTCTGAGCCTGGTCTGACAGACCGTCACATGCGAAGGTGGACGGTCCTGCGAGTGTAGCACTCGCAACGGTGGCGATGGCGGATCCACAGGGGCATTGTCGTGATTTAATGTGGAATGATGTCGTCATGTCGGACATCTATATCAGCCAGATACCATGTCATTAGAACTTCATTCATATTATGAATGACATGGGCATGAATCAATGCTCCTCGTATCTGTGCATCCGCGGTGGGAACCGTAGCGACCGCGCCGCTTTCTTGATGTCATACGACTTAAAAGCACCCAGCTGATCGATTGCTTCCCATCCTTGCTGCATATTATATATGTAGCTCGCAGGGGACTTGGAACTTGCGCCTCAACGATTTGCTCGAGTTACACAACACCATCATCGCTGATTGGGACGACTGGGTCGCAGCTGCCCCTAGGACCTGGAAGCAAGACGGGTGGCTCCTCAGTCGTGCTCCTGTGGCCGTAGCTTGTCGCTACGGTCAGAACCAACCGATCGCTAATTCAAATGCCAACGCACACGTCGTCGAAGCTAAGAATTGGCACGCAGAGAGATCTTACGCCAACATAAGATATGTGTCCATAGCAGTAGCCACAGACATCGCGTACGTCCCTAATTCATTTTTATGACGACCCTTCCCTCCTGCCCCCCCAAAAAAAAACTTACTGCTTTCATGCACAGATGCACCAGGGTCAAACGATGGACGGAGGTGCCCAACGAAGATATCATCCAGGAGCACGGCGTGGTGTACGACTCCCCCGATCCACACGTTCGCGAAGAGGTGGACCTAGACGATGTGCCACATCGCG